GGTATAGCTATTACCACATGTATTTTTTTTAACGAAGATTTTTATCTCAGCGCGCGCTAACGATGATGATAATAATACAGTATACTAAAAAATTTAAATAAATGACGATTGAGCTATATGTAAACCTTGACAATTTAATTGTGATGTTACCGTATACTACATATATATTCAATTTAGAGCTGTGTTTTAAAGACCGACGATTATGCGGCACACAGCTGTTTGCCTAAACTGAGAATTATATAATGAGATTCACATATTATAATATTATCAAGCATCGAGATCCGCCTTGTACCGCGCTGGCGTTTTCCTATCTCATCCTTTTTTGTAACACTCCAAGGTCGATCCAGATGCTTAAGTCACACATTAAATGAAGGATTTTATGTAACAACAAATTTAAATAAAGATATACAAATTGCACATCATTTTCATAAATAAATAAGTGGACGAAGTCGAAACACAAATTTAAATGAATGATGTATACAAATTGCCGGTTATTTTTATAAATATATAAAAGCAATTGCATCACAAAAAATAATGTAGAAGAATAGGAATACGTGTATTCGGATACGCCGGCGCGATCTGCAGTGATCGCGTAATATACATAAAAAAAAAACTGTTAAAACAGTCGCACGCAATAATTACGTGATTTTCGCGATAGAGCTTTACGATCTATTAAGCACGCCTCGCTAATCGATCCGAGGCCATTTATCACGAACGTCATCGACACGACGTATTTTTTTTTCCTTCTCTCCTCTCGGTCGCGATCACACTTAGGCCCGAAAGGAGGGGCGGGAGGGGGGGCGAGAGGGAACTAGAAAGAGAGAAATACCGTTACAGTTCCGATTGTTTTTAAAATAGCGCCATTCCAACCCCGTTCCCTCTAATCGCGATCAGCGATGCAAATAGACCGTGTTACACCACGCCACAATAAATCTAATGCGGCTTTCCCAACTGGATTAATTAGCGTCTCGATTAATTAACGCGTGCGAATAACGCAATTCGAAATGCGAGGCGCGTTCGGCGACAGCCGCGAAGAAAAAGGGGGGTAAAAAAAATGAAGAAATTCGATCCGCCGAACACCCAGCCGGCGGGCGTGATTCGCGATTTCCGGCCCCCGGCGATTTACGCAAGACTATGGAAGAAGAGGAGACTCTAATGTCAATGTTAACGCTCGTTTCGCAAACAATAACGACGGGCGCTCGCCGGCCGCGCGATGTGGGACGAAGTCGCGTCTCTTTTCGGGACGCTCGCCGCGATCTCCTCCCCGAGGAGATATCGAGAGGTGTACATAGGTACGGATACACACTCAGACGGCGGCTCTCGTCGCAAAAAGATACCCGCTCGTTTTCGCTCGCGCGAAATTGCGAAAGGCGGCAATCTGCGCGCGAGCGCGATTGGATCGCGGCGCGGCGAGTACGTGCGAGCGCGAGCGCGCACGAGAGAACATCTCGGGGGGGCCCGCGCGCCGCGAGTTGCGACACGCGCGCACGCAATTACGCAACTTGCGTAACCTGCGCGGCGTCGCGCGGCTCGCTCGCGAGAAACGCGCCCGTATATTTATTTGCCATATAGGGGGGGAGGGGGGAGGGGGAGAATCTGGTGGCCGGGTTGTACGTACGCCCGGTAGACTCGTCTGAAAAGTGAAATATCTAAGCTGATTTAAAGGCGACGTGGTAAAATTTTACGCGTGAGAAGGATTTTTTTTTAAGATAATATTAATCTTGTAAAGTATTGCGTTATGAGTATACATTGTTTATTCAAGAAGTTTGTGATTTGCATCTTAAATGATTTTAGGCGAAGAATGTACAACCGGTTTGAAAAATACTGGTTATATCATATTTATGTATATACAATATACATATTCATATTTCTTTGAATCGATATCGATTAATAACTGATATTAAAGTCGATGCTAATAATATAATAGAATATAATATCGGCATTTGGACTGCCGCGGGAAGCGGTGAGGTAAGGGGAACAGCGGCGGCCGGCGCTCGAAAATCGGCTGAAAAGTGCAACGCGTGCCGAGCCCTGCAGTATAATAATGATGAACTATGTATAATATATAGAATTATATAGATATCTATATATGATACTTTTGTAATTTTTTTCATCGGGTACACTATTTGAAATTTCAAAATTGTGCCCTCAGTTTGCTCTCTCAGGAGAATTTCCAACATTCAACAATTGTAACACATTTAAAAGGCCGCTTCGCAATAAGAAATTTGTCATATAAATCATGTCCATAATTTTTATCCAGTGATGTTTCTGAGACGTTAATAACGGCTTCATTTCAGCCACCCTGTATGTCGTACGTACCCTGAAAGTACGCGTGTTCTTCGAGTTTACGTAATGATCGATGATATAAAAATCATTTAACACGCGGCGTGAGGTCGGTAATTTTTAGTAGTATCGATATACATATACATATGTATAAAAAGTTATTACTATAATATACGTGTCTCTCGAGAGAACATCGATCAATCAATTTATCAAATCAATTGGATTTGCATTTTGCGGCGCACATTTTTCTAACGCGTATCTCATAAAGGAAATCACACGAAGGAAAGTTATCTCCTTGTAATTTCTTTCGTGAAACGTACGTTGAGAATACACCACGAATTCAGCCTTATTTTGTAATATCGGCGTTCAATGACATAATAGCAGTAATACCGAGATAATTAGAGGTTTTTGGTATTTCATAATCAATCGGTTTTTCTGCGATGTTTTTTTTTATATAGAAAAAACGAGGATACATATGATGCACAATTGCGAGCGCAAAATCACTTCGGTATCTCAGTTCTCGGGAATATTAAAACGATAATTTTATCTACATCACACCGTTGATAGAAAAGTGATGTAAATAAAAAAATTAGCGTTTTCGAGACAATGAAAGGAAATCGACCTCTAAACACGATTGTCTTTCGTTATCTCAAAAAGTGCTAATTTTTTTTGCTTGTGTGACTTTTCTATCAACGAAACGAATTATACATGTCTAACTATAGGTACTTAAAAAAAAAATGCTAATTTTTTTGCTTGTGTCATTTTTCTGTCAACCAAACGAATTACATAGGACTTACGTTTAACTAGGACTTCAAAAAATGCTAATTTTTTTTGCTCGTGTCACTCTTTTCTATCAACAGAATGTACGTATGTCTAAGCAGTCTAAGTACTTCGAACATATGGACGCCTCCACAGAATCGTGCTTCGTACTACGAATCAAGGGCGATCGGCGTTTTCGAATTCCGCTCTCGTGGGCGGCCGTGAGGGTTACACGAAGTTCTTTTTTCTCGATGAAGTCTCGGAATTTTTTCTTCTTTTTTTTTGAGGACGCGCCGCGTAATTCGATTCGGAGTATTGCACAATCCGATCAGGTGAAACGATTCCACTAATATAATTAATTCTAAATTAACTCAAAATCTCGACGAAATTCGAGGCCCAAAAATTATTTTCTCACTTCTCAATATAAAGACGGACGAACGAGAAAGAAGGAAGGGGGGGGGGGACAAAAATAATTAGGATCTCGAGCAAAGGACAGGACCGCGTTAACGATGGGAAACGAAATGATTACCACCGTTTCGAAACGCGCAACGCTTTATACTTTGTACGATAAACCGCACAGTGCCGTATATCCGCTTCTGGCACTTTTCATCGAACGTGGCTAAGTCGCACGCGCTCTTCTGAGCGCCGCCGCGCCGATTGCGCGACCGTTAAGTGGCCCTCCGGTCGAGCGCGTCGGCGTTCACGATTTCGCGATGGACGGAGGCGCGCTCGGAGGCAGAAGGCAAAAAGAGAGAGAGAGAAGAGACGAGGAGTTCGCAGGGAAAACGGTGCAGCGAGAAGAGAGAAGCGCGAGTAAAAGACGCCGATTGATGACACGGGACGGGGATAATATCTAAAAGTCGCAGCCGCGGATGACTCTCGGCGGTGACCCGCCGGCTGCAGCGACGACGGTCTGCGCCCGGTCAAGGTGGCGGGCGTTTCGCAATTCAGCCGGTGCGCCTTCGGCCGCCGCTGTCACCTGGCATGCCAATTACCGCCCAACGCTCTCGTCGTCTTTTTTTCTCGTTACGCGCGCGCACGCTATCGAGATAACCCACTTTCCGACCGCGACCGCGGGCCGAAGAAACTGGCTAGTCCCGTCGGGCAGTCTCTTTTCTCCGCACGGTCGATTAACCCCTCAATTTACTGCCGAATTATTCGCCGGTTCTGTACACTCACCCTTCTCTCCCAACGACCTTCACCCGTGCGCGAAAGAATCCGCGCTCTTTTATAATTTCGCAAACCCGAAAATTTTTCTGGGTTCCCCGATCGTTGCCCAATTATTAGAGAGTTGATTTTTTTTTCTTTTCCCTTTTTACCATAATATTTATTTTTCGACGAACGTTACGAGATTGCGCAACGTGGCGAAATCGCATGAAATATCGTATCGTATATCTAAGCGAATGTTATTTGGAAACGCGTTACTGGGTAAGTACTCTCTCAGACAGAACGGTCTTTCCCTTTTAACGCGGAATGCGAAACGAAGATTGCTTAGGAATCTTATTATCCGAACGACGCGCTGGTGATTTTTACTCTTAAATTTTCTTCGAATTTTTTTACTTGAATACATCTATATTAATTTGAAGTGTTACTTTGAATTTTCATAAACATATAAAAAAGAATGTAGAAATACGAGAAAATCGAATTTCCTCGTGGTATATTTTTTTTCCACCTAATCAACGCGTGTTGATCTTCCTGTACGCGTATTCGTCGTCTTCCACGTTCTCCAGGATTTTCGCGGAACGCGAGTCCCCGTAACATTAAGAAAACAGCGTAAGAAATCTGTTACAAGAGGCGAGGAGAGTGTCTTGCGACACGGTGCGCTAAGCAAACAGTTATAAATCACGTCGGGGCCCCGGCCGCGGTTGACCCAGCCGCGCGCGAGGACGGAACGACGACGGAGGATCCAAACGCGAGGCGCGACGCGTGGAACGGCGCGTAAAAGCGGAGGGACTTACCGGCGTACGTGCTCTTGAAGCTCTCGTGAAGCTTGAAGGTGAAGGGAATGTGGACCTTCATCATCTCCATTTGCGGTATGCGCGGTGAATGCGTTATCACGCCGCCGCCGCCGCCGAACATCAGGTCGTCGCCGTGGACGCGCAGCACCATCATGTTCCTGCGAATCAGAGACGAGTAATCAGCCTTTCAGATTCGTCGATTCGCCGGCCGAATCTTCGTATCCAGAGATCGACGATTCGCCAAATCTTCAGAATTTATACTAGCTGACTTATCAATTTAACACTAATATTACCGCAATCATAATTGATTTGTTTAAAGATTTTTTTAGATTAATATTTTATTTCTTCTGTGTGAAAGATGGGATTACGAAATATTTGAATATTTTCAATAATTAATATTATATGTGTTTGTCATGTAAAAGATGGCATCATAAAATTTTTTTGACTTTTCAAGAGTTAATATTATATTTCTTATGTAAAAGATAGAATTATGAAATTTTTTGATTTTTCAAATAATTAATATAGTATTTCTTATGTAAATGATGGGATTATGAAACGTTTTGATTCTTTAATAATTATGCCTGCATATACTGACAAAATATTTGATTTTATAACACTTTCTTTATTTTCATAGTAATTTATTCACTTGCAGGTTCTTCTAGTATGTAAAAAAAACGTTAGCACGTCTAATGTCAAGCTTCTCAATCCGAGAAATCATTAAAGACACTTAACGGCTATTTATAAATTCAAAACTGTCGGGACATCCCAAGACCATGAGGACCATGTTTCTTTCATTATTTTCTAGAATCTTTGACAAAACTGTCTAGACGTAAACGCGACGCGACTTCCCGATCAATTTAAACTTTTCATCGTTTCAATCCGAGAAGTCGTCAAAGACACTTGACGGCTACTATTTATAAAAACGACGGGATATCCAGAACCATTAGACAGACATTCTGACGAGGCGGGTGTCCGATACTTGTGACTGCAATTGTATGGTAATATTTATGGCTAATAATTATGGCTAGAAGCTCTTTTTATAGTTATTACTGCAATAATGTTAGTAATAATTATATTTACATTTCTACTAAAAAATACAATTTAACTATAATTAAAGCATCAGGATAGACCGTGAAATGTTACAAACAATGAAGATGTAGAAAGATGACTATGAATTATAGTTAAATTATGATAACTGCAACATTATTTTTTTTCTCGATGTCATTCTTTCATCATTTCTAGAAACTTTGTCAAAACTTCCGGCAGATTATCGGTCAACGCGACGCGACTTATCAATCAATTTCAGCCTTTCATCGTTTAAATCCGAGAAACCGTTCAAATACACTTAACAGCTGATATTTGTAAATCCAAGAATGACAGATTGTTCTCCATCATCGGGCGAGTTCTTTCATTATTTCTAGGATCTCTGATAAAACTGCCGGGGCGACGCAATATATCCATCAATCTAAACAACATTATCATTAAAAAAAAGTGATGGTTATATTATACATTAATAAAATTTATAATACACTGAAAGAAAAAAATTGCTGCAATTATCATAATTTAACTATAATATATAGTCATTTTGAACTGTATATTTGTATGATAGAAGTGCAATAAATAATTTTATTACTAATATTGTAGCAGTAATAACTATATAAAAGCCTATAGTCACTATTTTACCACATAATTATAGTCAGAAATACTTTTTATAGTCTTCTAGTCATTTATAATCAGAGATACTTTTCTTTCGTTGCCTGGTAGGATTCGAAGACATTTTTTTAGCCAAAGAGACTACACGCAACGAAGAAAACAAAATTCCTATTGCAGTGTTTCTCGCTCTGATAATCGCAAAATCGAAAAATAATTCTTACTAGTCTAGTTAGAAATGCCCCCCCCCCCCCCCCCCAAAACTGAAGCAAATAGTTTTTGGCATTTCACGCGGAAACATGCAGAAACTCTTAGAGACCGGCGGAGAGCCCGTTAGCCCCTGAACCAATGTAGGTCAATCGAGGAATCGCGAAGGAGAAAAAAGTGTCAAATACATGCGAAAGCGTACCTACCTCTCGTCAAAAAAGATAGCTCGCGCCGTTGACGGAGTACCGCTAATTTCGAAATCCGGACAAGGCTGGATCGGCACGCGGGCGAATCGGTCGCGATTAATCGGAGTATATATGGTCAGTGTTTGAACTTTGCGCCACGAAGAATCGAATTGAAACGGCGACGAGGACGCCGAGGAGAGAGAAGTGACACGGAAACCAACATTATAAGCCGATTCGTTCACAGTTAAACGATTGCGATTAACATATGTGTGTACGGGTCGACCGCTGGCTGTTGCCCACCGTGCCACCGGGCACTGTCAGTGACCTTGCGGCCTTGAGACGTCGAAGGAGCGCCGTGGCTCCGCTGTGTGCAATTCGCCGAAGACGGGGTTTAAAATTAGAGGAGGGGGGGATCGTCGTCCCGCGATTCCATTTCGACACTCGAAATTGCGAATCTAACGATGACGCGTCTCTCGTCTCCTGAGAGAAAGAGAGAGAGAGAGAGAGATCGGGTTATAATTGCCAGGGATATAAAATGAAAGCGATCCTCTCTCGCATCGAGGACGCCAAGGATTAAAATATAAAAACCGGTCTTTTCGGCTTCGCGTGCCGGGCATTAAAATATCGTACATTAATAATAATCTAAATAAGGAGAAGGCCTTTATATCAATAGGTCAAAGCCGTAGATCTTACATAGAGGATATTTATGATCAAAGCGGATCTTGGTCTGCCTTAATACTTTATGTATGGTAATACTTTTGTGCGAATTTCTTTGCAATTTCCAGTTCACTAATTCGTGCCGATCCATCTTCTCTGCCACGCTTTTTCTACACTTATTACCGTTTATCAATAATCCTTCCTGTGTCGTAACGCGACCGTCCCCCGCACTCCGCGGACACACTCTCCGTATAGACACGAGATTCACATCACCGCGTTCTCGCAACGTCATACACACGTACGCTCGACGTGTTAAAAATTGTTAATTTCGCACACATCGCGCGGGTCCTCTCTACAATTCCGCAGTTCATCTCTATATACCGTGGCGCGTCAGACCGCGAATATTTCCTCAGTTTAAGAGCCGCCTTGCCGTAAAAGGATCACGTTAATTTCATATGCGATATGTAAAGTGATCCCGGCGGACACGCAATTCCCCCCCTTCTCGTCGTACGTGAACAATTATCTTTCGACGACCTCGCTATACTAATGGCACAGCCGTTCCGATGAGGCAATCGTTGAGCGGATCCAAATTCGCGCTGCGAATTTCGTCGAAAAAAAGAAAGAGTGCAGCAGAGATTCGAGTCGTAAAATTCAACGCGAGCGCGAGAGTCGAGCGATCTCTGGACGCGTCTCTCCGTCGGAGACTCCAAACAAACGCGAGACGCACACACGGGGAGGAGCTCGTTTCGATTTCGAACAATATCGGCGCCAAAAATCGCGGGGGAGAGAAAGAGAGAGAGAAAGAGGAAGGAGAGCGGGGCGAGCTAGGCGGGCGCGATAACGACGACAGGCATCGACGAGGTGGGGAATCTCCTCTGCTCGCGATCGCGGAGTTTCACGATTTACAAACAGTGCGACGTTAGCTTTCGAGGCTCTCTTTCGTGCCTACTTTCGAGAGACCCCGAGCACGAAAGTGGCTGCGTCACTCGAGAAAATCAGAGATACTTATCGCTCGTTGCGCTCTGTTGTCCTCTCTCTCTCTCTCTCTCTCCCTCTCTCTCTTTCTCGCCCGTCGTTGCCGTTGTCGTCGTCGCCGTCGCCGTCGTCGCCGTGTCTCGGAAGCGCGGAACTCTCGGCGTAACACTGTGCGTCGACTCCATCTAAATCACCGACTCTCGAAACTTCTCGCATCATTCGCGTAATAATGAGAGAGAAAAAAGAGACAGGACAAAAAATAAATAAATAAAATACTAATTGTCAGTCGTCGGAACCGTGCAAATTTGCGTCTCACCCTGAACGGATTTGCTCTTTGGTCCCTCCCCTCCCCCTCCCCCGTCTTTCGAGGATTTTTCGAGGTCTACAAACACAGGCCGGAATTCCATTTTGCGCGGAGGAAGAGATCATACGCACGCTCGCATAATTTCATTACCGCGTTCGTCGTCTCGATAGAAAATCTTACGCTCGAGATGCAGAGAGGCGATTAAAGGCGCGTTTCGTTCCCCTCGTGAAACGCGAATACGGTCGCGTTTTTTTTTTTCGCGAGAAAACGACCGTGATCGCTCAAGTCGTATGTATAATGTATCGTGCCTACACGGAGAGAATTTTTTTTTTTAATTTACCCTGCAAATTATGTTAATTGTGGGACAATATAGTATTTGGGCAAATTTTACTGTGCACTACAATAAGATATTACAGTAAAATTTGCCTAAATACTATATTGTCCCACAATTAACATGATTTGCAAGATAAATTTAAAAAAAATTCTCTCCGTGTATATATGTAGGCGCCTGGCGAGGCGCGATTGCTCACGCGAGACTCCACTCGTGAGCGAATTTCCGCGAGATGAGATTCCGGGATGCTGCGCGAAACAGCGCGAGGCATCGAGCGCTGCTCTTTAAGCAAGATACTTGCATGACGCTTTTTTTGCGATTAACGTGTTAGCTTTTTGGAACGCTAAAAAATTAGCAGTTAAAAATATAATTCCATAAATTTTGTTTTAATTAACAGTTAAGAAATATTATTTATACAGAATTATATTTCTAAAAAATACCATTTAGTTTTTTCATTCATAAACTTTACATCTCGACGTTTCTGCAACCCGCGATCGCGCGTTTCTCGCGTCTCCGCGTAGCCGCGCGACTCCCCTGGTCAGATTTCGATCGTCCCGCGCAAGCGATCGATAACGTCACGGTCACTGCCTTGAGTTTCAACTCGTGTCGTATCGCGTATCTTCATCAATCACCACCGGTGATTCCAAGGCGCAACTATGTGACGTCATTTATCGCTTCCGGAGCTAAGCCTGAGCTATCGCGAGCCCGCTGTTAGGCGGCCGTTACGGGAGGCCCCCGTCGAATATTGCCGAAACATGGCAGCAACGAAACATGCGGTCCTTGCCGAAAAAAAACACTTGTTCTAAAAATAGCGCTTTTAGCGAATCCGTTTTATTACATCGAGTTTTATTTATTTATCGTCCTTCCCATCCACGTCCTCCCAAACGAATTACGAGTAAATTCAATCGAGGAAAGCAAATAGCCACTTCTCTGGAGGATCCCATGATTCCTTTCCGATTTATATTACGAAGCGACCTCGACATTTCTCTGATGTGTGCCGAGATAGTTATGATGTGTTTAACACTAGAACCGCGGCGATTTAGACTTCCCCTAGAATCGTGGATAGATTATTTAAGGTATAAACGTACCATTACTGGACATCTATATCTGGACACGTACACACAAAATTTATTAATCTCAAGTGGTTTTTTTTATTATAATATCAAAATTTGATTGTAAAAATATTTAAAGATTACAATTAAATTATAATATTATGAAAAAAAGAATTTAAAAGTATTAAGTTTTTGTGTACCCGTTCAGATATATAGATACATGAAAATTTATTAATCTTAAATGCTTTTTTTACTATAATATCAAAATTTAATTGTACAAATATTTAAAGATTACAATTAAATTATAATATTATGAAAAAAAGTATTTAAAAGTATTAAGTTTTTGTGTACCCGTTCAGATATATAGATACATGAAAATTTATTAATCTCAAATGCTTTTTTTACTATAACTTTTTTAGAATATCAAAATTTAATTGTAAAAATATTTAAAGATTACAATTAAATTATAATATTATGAAAAAAAAGCATTTAAAAGTAAGTTTTTGTGTATCTGTTCAGATATAGATACATGTTCAGTAATGACACGTTTACCTTGTGACTCACATTATTCTTTTGTGAATTTTTGATAAATGGACGACGTGGTAATTAAATACTGGACTTTTATTAACATCAATTCAGTCGCACAGCTAGAGTTAAGACAACAGTGAAAAAGAAGAACTGTCAAATGAGTGAAAAAAAGCACAGCCGCGGTTCTAATGTTGATAACGTATCGCAAAAAATAAAAACGACGCAAATAACAATGAAGTAAGCGTTTGAAGTACGTTTTTACGGTCTTTTAACTCCGATCGAAAGACTCGCCGCCGAATCGGAGCGAGGCTCCCAAGGCCGCGTTTCGGAAGAAACGGCGAATCTAAATTCCTTCGGTCGCGAGAGCCGCGAGGTATCTCTCATTGCAAAGCATTGAAAAACCATCTCCGGGAGACTTTCGTCGAATTGTATCACGTTCCGACAGACACGCGAATGCCGCCGGGACGATAACGCGCGCGCGCAAGCGTTAACCTGCGGGATCTGTTCGTCGGCGATCCGAACGGCCGTCTCTCCGCACCGGCAACGTGCGAGAGACGTGACGTCTCGATTGAGACGCAATCTCGAGAGAGAGAGAGAGAGAGAGAGAGACAGGCATTTCGTTCACGAGAAGATCCGCGTGCGTGACGTCACGTGGAAAATAGATCGGGGCGGGCGGGCTTTGCCTCGGTCAGATGACGCGCATGCACGCACGCACCTTCGCCGCGATCCGTCACTCTTATCGCTCTTATAACTCTTTACGACTACATACATACATGTACTCGTCGCTCACGAATGGCGGGTATACGCGCAGAAAAGGAGAGCTAACGAAAAGAGACGGACGGATAGATAGGGAGGAAGAGAGAATATGACTCAGATACACGCGCGCGCAAATACACAAGTCGACGGTAGTAATAAACATACCTCATGATGAAGAGGAAGACCCCGCAGAAGCATATCAGCACGGCGAGCACCGAGAATATGTTGGACAGCTCCGCCACGGACACCAGAATCGCCGTCATCGTGTCGCACGTCCGTGATAACTGCCGCCGCCGCTGCCGTCCGTCGCCGTCGCGTCGTCCTCCTCAGCACCGGGTGGTCCGCCGCCCGTACCCGCACACATGCACGCACACACGTACACGACGACGGGGACACCACCACCACCACCACGACGACGACGACGATCAACCGAGGAGTCGTGCTCTCCTGTGTATATGTATCTCTCTCGCGTCTTCTCGCTTCTCCTCCCCTTCACGCCGCTCAGCGAGAGCTGTCAGCTGTCAACCGAACCGCGTCTGCCTCGCCGCTTATCACCACCTCCTCCGACGCTTCGAAGGCGCTTGGCTTCGAGCGCGCCGTCGTCGGCACCTCCTTCATCGACGTCCCCCGGCGGGGGTCCGTCCTGTCGTCGCGCGGCGCCGTGTAGCCAGCGGCGACGACGACAGTATGTACACGACGACACGGTGAGGTTCGGGGCTTACGCAATTAGCGCGCGGCAGACGAGACGCCGCCGGCCGACGTGGGGCGACGCGCCGCGTACATCTCTGTCATAGCCGCCGTGTCGTGTCGTTGGAGCGGGCAGAGCGGAGCCGGAAAGCGCGGCGCGCGACGTGGAAATCACCGTCCGTCTGACGTGGTCCGTCCGTGAATCGAACGCGCGCGAGAGAGAAAGATATAATATATATATATATATAGATTAGAAAATAGAATGCGCGGAGGATCGAACAGAGGACGATCAGGCGTGCGCACGTGCCACCCGGCGGACCAGACGAGACTGACTGCGCCGCCGGCGCGCGGCGCGCCACTTATACGCGATCGTTTAACGCGCGCCGCCACCGCGAGAGCGCGCTGACCTCGCCCGCTGCTCGCCGCCGTCGCGCGAAACGGGCGCGAATGAACAATCCGCTCCTCCGTTCCGTGCGTGCGAGACACAATAACGACCGACTTGTTTACCTCTCCGCATGTGACTGTACGGCATCCATCTATTGTTCCTCTGCTCGTCGACGCGTCCGGTTGAATTTCGACGCCTCTTCGGCCAACGCGCGAGAAAGACGTACATCTCATTTTTTTAAATAAAAGCTGCAGACTACCCTACAGTTGTTTCCTGCAAGATGTTAAACGTTCAATTAATTATACATACTCATGTTCTCACGTGCGTTTGTTGATTCAAATGTAAACGCTGCGTATGTATTTTATATACGATGGTAGAAACAATTATGGAACGTCGATTAGTTTTCTTATGTTATCGAAATTAGAAAGAGAGAGAGAGAGAGAGAGCGCGCGCGCGATGATTAATTTTGTCTGCCAGCCAGAGTTTTCCTCCCGTAAATAATCGATAAACGATCGGAAATGCACGCCGCAATCACGACAGCTAGCCAGCACACGTATATGTATTTAACTGGCGAAAATAACGACGATGAATCATCTTGACCGATGATTCACATACGAGATTTTACTTGCTCGTAAAAACTCAAGCAAATATACATTGATATATGTATTTTAAGAACCCGGATAATACGATAAAAACATACTTTTGACATTTTTTTTTAGACATCTCTTAGACAAATGTCATTTAGCATTGTTGTTTGGGAATGCATAATATTATTCTCGCTTCGCAATCGTTTCATTTGTTATGCATTGATATATGTATTTTATGAACCCGGATAACACGATAAAAACGTATTTTTGACATTTTTTAAAATATCTTTTCGACATATGTATGTTTTTATTGTCTTTAACGTTATATTTATCCATTGTTGTCTGGGAATGCGTTATTCTCGATTCGCAATTTTCATTTGTTATGAATTACAAGCATTTATTATGATCAAGTATTCGATATATATATGCTAATAGCGCGAGAGAGTAAAAAGGTTAAGATATTATAAATTGAGAACTTTGACTGAACTTAATCCGATAATCAGTTCGATCAAACATAAGATATATCGATCGGCAGCATTCCTAATTATATATACAATTCGTTATCTCCAATTCAATCTTTCATGCGTTAAACAACATAAATTAATAATTTTCCGTGTTTCATAAAATAGAACAAGTAATTATAATCCATCGAACAACTTAATCGAAGTCTAATCTAATGTACGTTTCTAATCATGTAAATTAAGATTATAACTTTAATCTCGGTTTAATTTTCTCTTTATTTTTTCTAATTTTTGGGGCTAGAAAAAAAAGTAAATTGAACCAATACATTATAATTTTACCAACTTTACAAAGTATAACCATTTTTATTAACTTTTAAAAAATAACCTCAATATTCTGCGTTTTTATCTAAATAAATGAATTTTATTCTTGAGTTTCTCTTTATTAATTTTTTTAATTCTGGGAACTAGAAAAAAATTAAAAAATAATTTAAACCGAGATTAAAGCTAATCTACAAACTGGAAGAAATTAACACAATTATAAGTGACGCTTTTTTATTAAATCTGCAGGACTCTGTATATATAGTAGCTAATACACATTTTTTTCTTTGTGATTATTCCCATATATTTGTTCTTCCCTTTTTAAATTTACTTCATTGGACAACTCGCATAGCTTTATTAGCTTTTCGACTTCGGATTTGCCAAGAAAACGTACTTACGTTTAATTACCTTCGCGAATGCAAGACTCTATACCGTGAGTACCGTGTCGCCGAGTTTACCTTGTTTATTTTCGGAAACCGCGACGGGATACGCAGGGATACGTTAATGGCGTACAAACACGTCTGAACGCTGCGAACTATAGCGACATCTGGCTCGAGCAGTCGCGACCGAGTCCTCGTCGCCGAATGATCGAATTTGCGAGAATCGTCCTTCTCGCCTGCCTGTTGTTGCTTCCGTCGTCGTTTCCCATAAAGTTGCCGCGATCGGCTGCAGGGGAAGGGACGGAAATGTCAAGGATGCTCGCGGTGGATTTCGAAGTTTTCGGCATCGTGCAAGGTAACCGAGACCTACCCCCGCCGATTCGTCTTGAATTACCGAATCGATTATCCGTCGACGAGACGTTGTTGTTAATCGCTCGTGTTTGTCGTAGGAGTCTTCTTCAGGAAGGTGAGTAAATCGGCCCGCGAGTAATCCAGCCAGGAGTTCGACAATCGTTTGAGGCTGCCGGAACGGAAATGCGCGATTGACGAGAGGCGATTCAAGCGGGGATCTTGAAACTCCTGACTCGCGACATCTACCGGGTGTTCGATCTAAACATCTTTTGCTGTCTTTATCTGTCGCCGACACGAACGCTTATCCCTCTTACCGATATTATCAATATGATTATTTTCTGCAGTGGTAACTTATCATTTTTTACCGTTGATAACGATGGACGAAATCTAATGAGTTTCCCCAATTTTTTTATTTAAAAAATATTTATATTGATGTTTACAAGATATTTTCGAGCTTATATAAAAAAATGTTATTAACCGAAATTAAAATATATTTTTGTACGTGTATATGAAAAGTATTTTCAAAAAGTGGTAAGTTTATTAAAATGGAAAATTGTTTAAAAAATTATCTGCTTAAAAACAGATATAAAAGCAGTAGAAATATAATCACAAGTATTTATTTATATATTATCAATTCCTAAGCAACAGCAAGCGATTTGAGGCTTCTCTAATTAGTAAAGTGTTTTTATACGATTTATATGATGTTTTTGTATATTGAAAAAAAATCACTGCTTGATGTGAATTTCTAAGATGCATAAAACAAGTTTAATAAGATGCGTAACTGAAATTAATCGCTCGCGTCTCATTAAGAGACAGAGAAAAATCATCTTATAAAAATACGCCCGGAATAAATTAACATAAATAGATAACTTTATATAACTTTCATTTTACGGATCGAATTTCTATATAATTTTTTTACATCACGCGCGCGGCGTGTTTTAACAAAACCGATGCAGTTTCATCTGCCTTCGGAAATATATCTTTCGTCGCCGAGAGAGACTCAGGCAATCCTGTCTTACTTACTTGCGGATGTAACAGTACACGCAGAAACGCGGCAAGGAGCTGGGTCTGAGGGGATGGTGCATGAACACCCCGGACGGCACCGTGACCGGCCACTTGGAGGGGGAGAAGGCGCAGGTCGAGGAGATGTAAGCCAGCCGCGGATATGTTGATCTCGTTGATTCGAGCTGTCGCGATCAAAGAAAAGCCAGATCACGGTCGCGCTTCCTCTTCTCTTTTTCTTCCGTTTCAGGAAACAGTGGCTTCGCCACACCGGAAGCCCTTCGTCGCGGATCGACAAGGTGGAGTTTCGCAACGAGAAGGAGATCTCCAAGCCGTCGTTCTCCAACTTCGAGATCCGAATGTAGAGGCGTTCTCCAGTCGCGAAAAACGAAGAATAACAGGAAAAAAAATTAACGTCCAAGTCCTAGAATCGTTTAAGCGTCGCGCGAGTCTGCTGAAAAATACTATTTATTATTTAAAACAATATTATATTGAATGAATGTAACGTGTAATTAAAATTCACGTATATTTCTTCGTAATTTCAAAAGTTATATCCAAATTCCTTAAATCTTTTCCAAATGTCGTCTATTGAGGATTATAGAAACTGCCGAAGTGAATACTTTTAGCATATTCTGAGAAAGATGTGATAACGCCTTTCGCACTTTTGACATTTAGGGCCGGTTGTTCATCCGTCTTCGGATGAACCGCGTGATAATTCAGCTGATGGATAAATTGCTACATAGATGACCCGAAGGCAGAACAACCAGGAGGATGATTCATTCGAGTCAGGCACTTGTTCCGGACGAAATCGTTGATTGACCTTGAAAGGATTAATTTATTTTCAGAAAATTATATCGCAAAAGACAATATTCTTAATCTTGCATTGGAGATCGCACTGTAGACCTTCCTTCTTCAGCTTCGTCAAATTTCAAACGTATATACCTATTATGCTTTAAATGGCAGAACATATAATTCTGCATTCTCTGCAGCTGTAACAAAAATAGAACTAACGTTTCGCTGCATTTTTTCTCGAAAACACCAAAGATTTAAAAGATTGTCACGTGCAGAACGCCGATTTTTCCTTTATTATACTCTGTAAAACTGAGTTTTTATTTAAAAAAAATTGCAAAAATGTTTTTTCATGTTTGACTTACGGCGAAACTTAAATTCATTCGACTTAAATTCGCCTCAAGTTTTTCAAGACAGGACATTCTCGAGCTATTTTCTGATAAAAGCGACGATCGCTTCGACCCGAATGTGTGCCGCACCTTCTTCTCGCGAATACCCCGCGGCGAGTGGGTATACGACACGCGGAAGCGGCGGCGTGGAGGAGCGAATCGCGCCAGCATCTCTCGGCGAGTTCCTCTCGCGTTAGTCGGCGATCGCGCGGCGAACGGCGCGGTTCTCGATCTCGGTATCTCGCGAGTATTTTCCTCCTCTTCTACATAGTCCCCTCACTCGGAACGCGAAATACGAACGCGAGCTTCGCGGGGAAACGAGCTCGCGAGGATGCGCCTGGACTCCTGCACGTCCCTTGGGTCTCGCGCACATCCTCACACACGTCGTAATCCGATCCTCACGCACAGGCCTCGTAATCGATTTCTCGATCGGGTTACGGACGGTCGAAGGGGACGATCGAATTCGCGCCGCGAATAGCCGTGACGCGCGATAAAAATGTTGTAGTGATCGCCGGGGGAGAGAGAGAGAGGCGGCGAGGAGCGGACGTATAGGAGGGAAAAGCGATCAGCATGAGGTGCTTCGAGAGCTTCTTTAAGCACACCTGGCGGCCGCAGCAGGTGCATCAGGTGAGCGCGATGAATAAACTCCGGGCGGTTTCGACCTGTCGTGTCGCCGCGGCGACCCCGATCCGCGCGGACTTTATCGCCTCGGAAGTATGTCGTAATAATAAGTTCGCGACACGTCGAATCTATTATTTTGATATTCCGCTCGCGACCTGCACCGGCTGCATGACGTTATACGTGCCGATACGCACTATCAGGTGTGACAGTCGCATATGCAGTAAAAATAGTGTATACTGTAAACTGTAAACGGTGTGGTTTTTACTTGTACTTGAAGTAAAAATTAGGCGAGAGACCTTAAGAATAATTATAATTAATAATTATGTGGACCCCCCATCGAAATAACGAGGAAGCTCTGTAAGTACGACGATAACGCTGCAAAAAGTTTTGGCATTCTATCAATTAGCTCGGATATTTAATAATCATTTAAATCCAACGTAATTACTTTTAGATCTGCATTTAGCTAAAAATTTTTATATATACTTCAACAAAACCGTTCCTTCCGTATTTATACACACGTAACAAATTCCTAATTCTTTCCTTTAATATTAAATTATTATAATATTAAAATATTAGAAATATCAAGTTATTATAAAATATTTTAAACTACTGTAGAATATTATATATGAATAGAATTATAAAACAGGTACGCAAAGATTACGCAAATCGCGCGACATATCGAGGATCATTGTTCACAGTATGTTTCCTTCGGGGAACCATGCACGTGCCATCCTGGCGATAATATTTGCTTGATTGTATTTGACTGCGTTATAATTATCTTACGGCGATACCAGGAACTCGAAGCAAATGAAAAAAATAATTAAATAGTTTGTTTTTATCTGTACAATTATTTTCATTTATTATAATAAAATTTAAAAATTAATATTTTGTAGTATTTTAAAATATTTTATAATAATTTATTATTACTCTTCAATTTTCTAGAGACCGGTATTTTAAATACGCACACAGATATTATTCCTGCAAATAGAAACTGCTTTAGTCAGGAAAAAACAATTAGCGTTGACATACAATTTTTATGTCATAAAGGTTTAACATACGAGACGTCAGTTCTCATCGTTATCGGTGTTCTTTCATGAAAAATTCAACGTGAAGTCGCGTTATAATTAAATTACCTATAAGTCCTTCTCCATCGCCTAAAACCGAAATGTAATATAGTGAAAGCGCGTCGCCAGGAAGATTACAAGGACATGCACATTACATTTTTATCGTACGCAAATTTACTGAAACAGGTAAACACGTCACAAAAACGCATTGACCACCGAAGCGTTCAGCATAATTTCCGAGCACGTTACATAATGATTTCCGCGTTTAGACAAGACTCTTTTGTATTTTTTTTTGCCTTGCGTATTTTTGTGTCGCTTTTTCCTATTTTTCTCTTAGTATCAAAATGTAGGTTAGCCCACTGTTACAAATATCCTTCAAATATCAAGATAAAAATCGAAATACACTGTGTATTGTATACACAATATGTCGCGCCTATACACGCTGTAGATTGGCACGATCTTTCATCGTGATACTCGTGATTCGCGCGTCTGTAGTGTGCACAGGTGCGCGCACCGTCTGGCGACGGAAACTCTGCAGGCTACGAAATTATTTATCGTGTTTATTTAAAAACATTCTTTGTTTCGACTAGCTATTCGCTTGAACATATCCGTAACGTGCTATATTGTCTGTCCGCGATAAAGATCGATATGTAAAAATGGCCGAGCGAGGTGAAATTAGCAACGGCGAAATTAGCAAAAATTAGCGACGGGCGATCGTAGTCGTAGCACGAGGCATATCAGTCGTCGACCGTCGAATTCCTGGTTCTCGTCGTAAGGCGATTACGACGGCGGTCGCGTTATCGCCGGGATGGCACGTGGACTCCCCGAGGATACGTACGGCGAACAATGATCCTCAGTACGTCGCGCGATTATTTGCGTAATCATACCTGTTCTCTCGCAAAATAACGGACGAGAGAGATAGAGAGAGAGAGAGTTACGCAAGGTATGATTATATGTACGATGAGCGTGTGTCGCAATATTTCCTCGGAGATGCACGAAGGTGGTCGCGTCCCGGACTTTCCTCCATCGTTCGTTCATCGTCGAGCGTTTACGTGTCGCATAATGTCGTATAATTTGCGCCACGAATGCGTGCAATTCCTAGTGAAAAGGTATCTCCTGGTTTTCTTCACGTCATATTTTTCGGAAATTCTATATAATTTTTTTAGAATCTTCTATTCATAATTTTATAACGTTTTGGTTTTTTTGAAAATTTCTGCTTTTTTTATATATGAATTAATTGAAACATTTTTCAGAGATACTGAAAAAGCTTAGATCTTTTCTAAAATTTTTTATATAATGATAATCAATTTTGAAATCAATTCTAAAAGACTTCTTCGAAGAAGACTTATAAAACCTGAGGAAACTTAAGATATTTTTTTTCTAAATTTCCACAAATTTAAAATATATGGTAAATAAAAATATTGAAAGAATTTGTTTGACCACAGAAACCACTTGTTATTTTCCAAGTAATTAAAAGCAGTATGGCCTTGAAGTAATCATTAAGCCGCATGTGTTTTAGCTATCTGGAAAACAGGTTTCTGTAGTGAAAAAAATTCTAATATTTTTACATATTACATTTTTCAAAAATTCCAATACTTTTATATGCAGAATTAAAGGAATCATGTTATGTGAAAAAACTCATATACAATAATAATTCCATTAAAAAAAATGGCATTGATCTTCATGTAGCTTCAAAAAATTGATTTTTAAAAATTAATCTGTATACACAGCTTTAATTAGTCATTTTATATAAAGCTGATTAACCGTTGACCTAAAATGTTTGTTTATCATATTTTTCGATAACTCTTATACTTTCATACCGAATTATAGGAATCATATTGTGTAAAGAAAATCACATAATATAATTCCATTATAAAAAAAAAATGACGACCTTCTTATGTGGCTTTGAAAAATTGTTTTTTTTCGCGTAAATGCAGCTTAATTAGTTTTTTCGTGTAACTAATTAGCCAACGGTTATAATAATTAAGTTAAATAGCGGTGACGATAAGTTTGCGGCGAGTGCAACAGACCGGAGAAGAAAAAGGTGTTTGATCCCACTCGGCGGGATTTGCGATATAATTTTCGCCTGCTGCGGGGAAAGGGGAATTTGCCGGTTTATTGGCCGCGATTGGTCAGGGGTCGCGGTTGATAAACGCTGATAATGTCTCCCGCCCGTTCTAAACCAGTCAGTTCCTACGGCGATTCGCGCCGGCGAGCTACTTGCGCGTCGCGTTGCCGCGGTTTCACCGCGACTCGGGTATATCAGTGACGTATCCGTAAGCGAGAGGGAATTGTGCTGTACGAAACTTGACGTTCGAAGAGTATCCGCGGTGTATGTACGCGAGGGAAAACAAAACTTTTCTCTTTTCGGAAACTCTCTCGGAGGTTGTCACCTCCGAGATGCGATAGCGAGATGAGCAAGAGCGATCGCTACGTCGGGAAGTATGGATACGCGTTCGACAATGTGAGTACCGCCGATGATTGGCGTCGAGTGTGTGTGCGAGGTCGGATTGACGTATGTACGTACAGTGACATACAGCGTCCCATTTTAATTTGTCCTGGGCAAATATCTGATGGGAAAATATGGAAGATACGGAAAAATGTTTCAGGACTAAAGTTACATGACTCGCAGGAAGGCAAATGATGGCAAAATTAATTTTCGAATATTACAATTTTTCAAAGCCATACAAAGGTCAGTGCTGTTTTTTAAAATGGAGTTATATGATTTTCTTTACATAATGTGATTCCTCTAATTATTCTGCATATAAAAGTGTTAAAGTAGAGCTATCGAAAGTCAATAATCTATGAGATACTTTGCATTTTATTCTAACACATTTTGACATAACATATGAAATATCTCGTAAATTATTCATTGTTTGGTAACTCTACCTTAATACTTTTATGCACGGAATAATGAGATGAATCGATTGATGTAAAAAAAAACATATAGTTGCTTTTAAAAAAAGATATGTCTTTGCATATTGTATAATTTTTTGGAAATTGTCATTATTATCATTAGACTCAAATTCAGTTCAATTGATTAACTTTATACTAAAAGTTGAACGCTTCGTCTAGGTATTATGTGTCGTGTCTGTATAGAATAAAAAAAAAATATATATATATATGTATGTATAAAAGGAAAACGAGACAAAAAAAAAGAGAAAAAAAGAAAAGAGAAAATATTAGTATTAGAATTGACAGAGTAAAATTAATATTTCTTTCTATCCTAATTATTTCCTCAAAATAATCTACAGAATTTTTTTTATTTTCCTCTTGATTTCTTTCACGAAATCGAACGAGAAAGTTGAAGTTTTAAGAATAATTCGTAATTTATCATTTAATGTTGATTATTTGTTGTCCTAATTAATGTGTACTGAAATATTTTATGGAAATACAAATATACGGGCGATGTCGAAATATACGGGTTTGAATAATCACGTTATCAGGAGGAGAGCTACCGTCTGCAATCAATCTCGATTTATTCCAATGCCACTCGTTCCCCCGTTCTCGCAATTTAATTCGCCGCCGGCGTGGCAGCGCTACATTTGAGAAAGCGATTAAATCCCTCGTAAAGGGAGCCCATTTAAAATCGACGCTGGCGAGCGCGACACGGTCGATCGCCTCTAATCGGGTCGTTGACTGTCGTTTGATCCTCGAACGAGCCGCGTTATGCGGTGAAAGTCGCGTAACGCGGAACGTGTAACAAGCTCCTTCCCCTTGTGGCAAAAAAAAAAAGAAAAAACGTAAAAACGCGAACCGATATTGAAGCGCAATCTTGAGAGGCAGGTCTAGTTATCTCGAAGATATAGAAGATATATTATCGAAGATAGTGCCGACTTGCGATCGAGTGATGCTTAAAAATCACGGAATATTATTTAGTAATATGTAATACTGCCGTTACAAATCTCTGAATTGTTTTTCCTTTTATTGAGAAACGTGCGTTTTGTGAAATTTTTTAAACACTCGAACGCGATTTCGCGAATCAACTGCGCGACCGGCTGAACTTTCACTGACCAAGTATGTATTGCCCGTGTGTATTTCGCGAAAGTCGCTCAGCTATTATATTAATATGCGTTAATGATCGTATAATAAATGACGATGTGCGGATCCATAATGGGATCCATACGGTGATCGAACCGTTACACGGATCAACAGGCGGAATCTCCTCCCTGCCCATCGAGAAGCCGGATTCCTGAAGCACGCGTAATCGCCGGCTTGTTTTGCTCCTTTCACTTTCCTCACATCCTCGCGCATATATGTCACTGAATTCATTTCGGTTACACCGTTACGACCGCGGCAAAAGACATCGAGAAAAAGGATAATTCTTTCGAAAATCCTGTTTTGCTGAATTCGTTTCGATAACTGTTGCGATGGCAAAAAGAAAATCTATTTAAAAATCCCGTTTTACGGAAATTCGTTCTGAATCGTTAGAAAAAGATACGCAATGTAATGAATTTAAAGAGCAAATAATTATAGCAATTTTAAAATTTTATGAACAATTTATTACATATTTCCATTGAATATTTACCATTTTAAACCCATTTTGGAACATTTGAAAGCTATTTAAAGATTAATTTAAATATTTCATATTTACTATTTCAATTTGCCAATTGTTTTTTAAATTAGTCTTACAATTAATCTTTTAAAAAAATTGTGTATAATTATTTTGAAAGATTAGTTTGAAAATGCAAAGGCAACGATGGTCGCAAAACTTTCGATAGAGCTTAGAATTTACTCGGAACTTCTTAATCGTGTCAAACTGAAGTCTAATTTTTAGCGCGTAATCTCGTAATTTTATAACGCGTTAGATAAGTCGAGCTCGAATACGGAAGTACGAAATCGTGGTAAACGTGTCAACCGGGTGGCTTCGCAGGATGTTTGAAACCACTGACAGATAATTTTTATCCGCGGCAATAAATATCGGAATACCGCTATATATGTATTTGCTCTATATTTTTTTTTCTCCGTTCGCGATTGACGATATTATGTTGTTTAATATGTCTGCGAGTAATATTATTCTTGCACATTTCACGCGAAATGCCTCGTTGCTAAAATAATCATGGAAATAAGAAACTTTCTGTATCTCTTGCTTTCTGTCCGTCAAGATAAGTTGAGTAAATATCCTGAGTAAATATCGCCTCCGACTATCAGACAGTTTTTTGAAAACTATATGTGCAACAAAATGAAAGTATACTTCAATTTACAATAAAAATCTTTCGGGATAAAATTTCCAAATTAAAACAATCCCCTCTTTGACTTTAAATTTCTTAAGAGAGCAATTATATACTCTATCTTTTTTTTAATACCAAATACAATCTTGACCAAGAATGCTTCGTCACACTTCACGTCGCATCTTTGGAAATCATAATAAAATAGAACATTTCTGATACTATCGGGCTATTAAAAATAACTCAATTTTTATTTCTTTACCATTAACCATGCAACAAAAATGATGATGACGTTTACCTCTTTTTTTTTCCAGATGGATTCGCCGTCGAGATTCGAGCCGACGGCGAATAAACCGGCGGAGATGCAGCGTCACTTCGCCGCCGGCGAGACCACGGAGCTGGGCGAGGTGCGGGTGATCGGGCCGAGCAGCAACGTCGCGACGTCGACGCCGTCGACGGCGCACACCAGCGGCAGCAACGCGACGCCCTGCAAGAACGGCGGCTGCAAGGTCTGGCGGAGCACCCGCGTCGGCGGCGGCTCCGAGCCGCGCACCGAGAGCCCCTGGCACATACTCAAGACCGTCTTCCTGGTCTCCGTGATCGTGGCCTTCCTCCTGTGGATCATCGTCTACACCCTGCTGGACCAGTACCGGATCTTGTGATCGCGATGCAGCCACCATCCTCGCTCGACGGATCCTGCCTGGTGTTCTTGCGGTCGCTATTCAGCGGATGGATTCCGCGGGCGATTCTCGCGATTTATGGGCGAGATCGGATCCCGACGACGTGATCTCGCTGGGAGATTCCGATCTGCGATCGGATCCTATACGTGACCTCGTGTTCTCCGTTACGATCGCTAAAGGCCATCACGCGTATAAGAATTTTAGTCGTAATCGTTAAGGCAGTAAACAAATTGATCACAATCAAAATTGCGGTCTTACATTTTAGAACGTTCAATATATGCTTATACGATCTTACGGTTACGATGAAAATTCCTGTACGTGTGGTGGCCTTGACGGATCCTGTGTGACTTCCACGTGACTTTGTGATCGCGATTGACGACTCGACGTTGAAATTCCGCGATTTCCACGTGATCTTGTGATCGTGATCTACGATTGATATCGGGACCAATTCCGTTGGGTCCACTGTACATCTTCCACCATCGCTATCGGATCCTGCATCCGATTCTGCAATCATGCATTGAATTATAATACAAATCACATTTGTATTGTGACACAATTGACGAAACGAAATGAACGATTCTGCGGAGAAATTCGGAAGGAACACGGCCGAATGCTCGGGGGAGGATTCCTCTCGGCAGCTAGAGGCGGCCGTAAATCGGATTGTAGTACACGTACACACACATTTCGTACTGTTTTATAAACATTCGGCTCCTGTAAATAATCGAATAAAATACGTCAATAACAATATTCATTACGATCGTTAGATTATTTAATCCCTTTATTATCATACTCGAGCAGATTGCGCGCTGAGTCTGGTGTTAAAAAATTAAAAAGTACAGCAAATCTTTACACAGAGTTGTAAATAATACTGAGAGAGACGCGATTCTTAAGAAAGATCTTAAAAAATTGCGCGGACCTTAGTAAATCTACAAAAATCGTTAGAATCGATCAAAAGATTCGTTCGCCTTCTCTTCACGTCACGCGACACTTACGCTAATCAGACAAATAAATGAACGAATTTTTTGATCAAAATTAGCTTAACGGTGCTCCGCGTTCTTTTTTTTTTTGGCCGGGATCGTAATAGGCGAGGATTTCAAAACGACCGCGATGTAGGGGAGAAACGGGGAGGGGGAGGAATAAGAGAATCAAGTGTCAATTTAAATGTCATGGGGGCTGCGAGAGAATTACACACAGACGCTTTGCGTTTCGGAGTTACAGAATTCTCTCTACTGTCTCTTCACCTCCGTCCTCCTGCTCTCTCGAATCGAACACCGCCCAGGTTCCCCTCTCTCTCTCTCTCTCCCCTACGCGGCATCGCGATGAAATTGTCGTTGGTAAAAAAATATGACTGCGCACGCATGATCGAGCATGTATCTCGCGAGACAATCCGACGGCAACGGGCTCGGCGAATCGCAATCCGCGGTAGACGGCAGCGTTAACGTTATCGGGAACGGGCAGCGGCCTGAGTCGACCGGCAGGAGCCAGCAGCCTCGGTCTCGGCCGCAACTGCAGTCGCAATCGCAGCTGCAGTCACAGTTGCAGTCGCAGCTGGCACCGCCGTCGTTGACGACAACGGCAACGACGTCGACGAACACGCGAGATCGGGAAACGGATCCGATGCGACAGCATCCTAGCGCGTGGAGATTGCGGGACGACGACAACGACGAGGACAACGATGACGATGACGGCGACGAGAACGAGGAGGAGCAGCAAGTGGATGACAACGTGCGATCCATGTTCACTTTACGTTTACGGCGTTCCCGACCGCGCGTGACGATTGTGCGTGTTTCAGTTCTCCGCGGCGACGGAAAGACGCGCGCCACCGAGGATGATCCTGGTCGGCTGGGACAGCTTTCGCACGAGGCTGCTGCTATTCCTGATCGCGTGCCTTCTCGTCTGGGCCTGCGTCTTCTTCCCTCTGCTCGGCACCTGAATCCCCGGCACTCTCCCTCTCGCCACTCCTCCTCCGCCTCCTCCTCGTCCTCCTCATCCTCTCCTCCACCCTGTCTCTGTCTCGTCCCACAGTCGCGAAATGACACATCAAGTTACACTTACAAGTTCGACACGACGATTCGATGCGGCGACATTCAACACGATCACACATACATACTTTCACGCGTTTACATTTTGCATATATATTATATATATGTGTGTATATATATATATATATATTACGTCCAATATATATAATAACTTTACATTTTTGGTATTCGGTATTTACATGCTATTATATTGTTTTAATCATAAATATATTAAATTTACGTAGTGGCCTTTCGCGGAGAAGTGATTAAACGGCTCATCTCCGAACCATCTTAAAATTCATTTACTTCTCTCCTCCTCCTTTTTTTTTAATAGAAATCGTAATCGCTCATTGCAAGATCTCTCCATGGCTTTTATGCACATACGTGTCTCCACAATTACGCTCAATATTTTCCTTCTTAAATAAATTATCGACGAACGCGTGTCGCGGTTTAAGACGGCTTGAAAATGGCTCCTCGGTTGCGAGAGACACGGAGAGGACTCGAATCCGCGTTCTCCGTCGCTCCCACACCCGATCAAGTTCCCGCAATTATTACGCGATATTACTAATGTCGATTACTACCCTCCGTTGGTTTCGAATCAACCGCAAAAAAAATCCGCACCGAACGTCCGCCGCGCGCGCGCGACCCCCATCGATATTATACGCTACATATACTTTTATTTTACGGAACACTTTCGTTGTGTAGCATGTCGTTAATATGTGTATGCCGTTGTTCTTTTCTTTTTTTCTATTTTTTTTTGTCTTACGTGCTTGCGGTGGTAAACGTACTCTCGGTTTCGCAGTCGTTCGCTCTAGATGAGAGTAATATCGTAAGTAGCGTCTAACACGTATGTAGTTCCTACAACACGGGGACGAGTCGACGGAGACGGAGTCGTTTAAGCATCTCCCGTGAATTCGAAAGGTAAGGAAAAAAAAAAAAGAAATATGTGGAACGCAACGCCGGAGGTGGTTCTAGATACTTCTTAACGTTACACGAGGGTCGTTTTGTCGCCGACTCGACAGTGCGTGTTTCGCAGGGTAGGTGACAGAGAAATGCAATTGGTTGAAAATATAAAAACAGAAATTATATATATGATTAACCAACGTTTTCTTCATCAATTAATGGGTATGTATATGCTCTACACACCCTTACCGTCTTTCAAATCCTTTCAAATTCAAGGGCGAGTGCTTCGAACGTACCACCTCCGTCGACTCGGTCCCCCCCCCCCCGCCTGTGGTATTATCAACGATTTTTCGTAACGTACACGCGACAATACGACGATGTCTCTAATAATCGATGTCTTACAAGTATGGATTATATGTACTACTAGTTTGGCATGCAACAACCGTGACGGTGCGCTTCGTGTGCTTATAGCGCCGCGATACGTCGCGACGAAGGGAATTCGCGTAAACACGTTGCGAGATCTACCGAATCCTCTTCTCTTTACATACACACACACACACATACACCTAGTGTCCCGCGACGTATCTCTATATGTAACTCTATTCGGTCCAGCGAGGTTTCTACAATGCATGCAATTGCCATGGCAGCGAGTGCACTCGAGGAGAAGATTAACAAGGCAACAGAATGAGGAAATTGGGAGGAGGCACGAAGTGATGGAGGAGGATAAGAAAAATGCGGCTAAGCTGAACGCAAACTGGTACCGTCTACAGATTGGCCGGGAAAGGAAGGAGCCGCCGGAATTTTCGAATCCACCTAGGACGAGTAGCGAGTCGAAACCCCTGCCGAGGAACACCATGAACATCCTCGGCAATATCGTAAGCTTGATTTACGAATTCTTTTTAAAGAAGAGACGTTTCAACGAGTGCTACCTTCTCTCACAATTCCATGAGCATTTCAGCGTTATCTCAATGTCTTAAATAATTTTTTTCTTTTTAATAAAGATCCATTTGTGTGGATTTAAACGAAGGAAATAAGAGCTCACTGACCAAAATCGGGCGTGATTCTAAAGAAATATCCTTTTTATCGAGGGAAAAATGAAAACTCTAGGATTGCACGAAGAGTTTGCCAGCCGGACACGTCGTGGGACACCCTGCGTGTGTTACGCGCCGTCGCGCGATGGTTGATCGATGGGACAAGTTTCCGAAGTGTCTAAAGTTCGTAATTTCTAATAGCTTGGAATAAATGCAAGGTGGTCGTGGATACGCATGGATTCGAGTGTGACCAAAGAGAGAGAGAAAAAAAATCCGCGCGAACGTCTCCGATCGATTGAAAATTATCGAGTTACGCGAGAAGAGTTTTAATTAAAATATATATCGCCGGGCAAGAGTAAATGCGTCTGGAATGCCACGATACCGCTGTCTATTACGCGAGAGTAATCGAGGTTCAAACCGGGGTTCAACGTTCAACGAAAATCAAGGGCCCGCGTGTTCTCTCGTGTGTAAAACCTCTCCCTTTCCCTCCTCCGTAATGTAACTTAATCGATCGTCCTGTTACACGGATAGGGAAACGATAAAATCTCACGACTATCCTTTAAAACGAACGAATTAACGAACACTTGAACTACAATATGGCGAAAATAAATAAATCTTTGTACGTGTATGCGTGTATATGTGTGTGTGTATGTATGCGTGTATGTGTGTACGTATATATGTATGTGTTATACATAAGCAATTTTACACGAGGAAGGTATCTCGAGTTCAATACTCCTGAGCGTCAGTATTAAAATAAAAAGAAAAAAAGATCATATATATACATAAATCGTGAACGAGATAAATTGGATATTTCCTAAACGTCGGGGATAACGAGAACGATGAGGATAAAATCGTCGTCCAGATTTGTGACTACGTAATAATATTTGGGGTAACCACAAACGCGAAACTTACGTACGTTTCACGCGCGCGAGAGAGAGTTATATAGTAATACCGTTTCCGATAATTCCTAAAAAGCGTCGTAGATTAGACTATGATAAAGTAAAAAAAAAAAGTAATAAAAAATCAAAGTCGTTTTATATCCGCGGCTTGTACGTTAGAGTGACGTGGAACGTCTTCACGTCCATCTCCGTGCAGTCCTGCGGCCCGATGACGCCGTCGCCGCTCGCGCGCGACGGCACGCGCGCCTCCTTGGAGTGCTGCTCCTCGAAGATCTCGTTGTGGCCGCTATCGGCCAGCATCTCGGTCGGCGACTGCTGCTGCTGCTGATCCTGATCCGTCACCATCACGCGCACAATCTTCACGGTCTTGATCGCCTCCAGGGAGCGCGACTTGGACGCCTCCGTCATCGTCATCGCCGCCGCCGCAGCCGCCGCCGCGGTCGCCGAGCGGCCGGCCCCCTTAGTGCCGTTCTCCTTGTTGCGACGGGACGAGTTGCGGTGCCAGCGTTGCTTCTCCCTGGAGGACGTCCTCCGTAGACTCGGCCGCTTCACCGACTCCGCGCTGGCGCTCAGACCCATGGCTGTGTGTTCGAAGGAATTTCAGTAAACAAAGAGAGTTCTCGAAGGTGGAACCAGATTCGAAAGATTAAAGAGGCTGAGAAGAGGAAAAGACTGACGCAAGCCAAGATAAAGCTTCTCCAAATAAATATAAAAATAATATAAAATATAATATAATTTAATCATAACGCGATACAAAAATATATAATACCTTAAAAAAAAACATAATAAAACATAAAAATTTAAAAAATTCCGATATACAACAGCAGAAATGTCGAGCTCATATTGATTCTGTTCTTTCCGGTTATCAAGGGAATCTCTGAAATCAATGTGACTGTTTACCGATATTGCCGGAGGAAGACCGATTGGAACCGCGTAGAATGTGTATCGCCGAGGGATCGCTGTCCGAGGCCATTATGGGCGTGAGAAACCATTCAGATCTAGTTCGCATCCGTGCGGCTTGCCTCTCGTGAACCTGCGATCGCAAACCACACGATGACACGGAGTTTTACTCACAGTTCAACATCAATTGTTCTACTGATCGTCGTCGTTGCGAGACGCGATCGTCTTACCTGCGGCAGGTAGCTGAGGCTCTTGGTGCTCTCGGCGTAGCGGTTCACCGCGCGGAGCTCTTCCAGCGTCATGCACGCCGTTCCGCGCTTAGAATGTTGACTGCCGTTACTGGACGAACGACTGGGCGCCTATAATGACATAATCTATTTGCTATGCCGCTCCAAATATTTCTCGCATTACGGCGATTTGTGATGCCACGCGCGAGCATGATCGCGCTCTCTTACCGCTTTTAAAATAATAATAAAATCTATAAAATAATAAAATCGCTTTTATAGATTTTATTATTTTATTATAATATAAATTTATGAGATATAGATTTTAATACCTGGAACAGGCCGTTTTCCTCTAAGCTAACCGAGAGACGCGTGTAACTCTCGAGTAAGGTGTTCTCCGGGATCATGCCTAATGACGACGCGAGATTCACGGTCTCCGGCACGTGAATCAACGCCGGAGTTGACTGCGATTCCTCCTGGTGGGACATACCTATCGCGTGAATTAGCAATTATTATACGATATTGTACAAAGCGATACTCCTGAAGTGTCTTTAAAGTTCTATATGTTATTATCTGATATTAGATTATGTCACGAATAAAAATATATAAATTTTTTTTCTCGCGCCACACAAAATTATAAATTATTAAATTAATTATTAATTATTTCGTTCTTAAAGAAAAAAAGATGAAAATCTTTCCTTGTTAAATACGAGAGGGAGTTATGCAAAAAATATCGCGCAAGAAAAAGAAACGTGATTTGTCACTTTTAATGCCGTAGTGTGATTTACAACGATCGATTTTTAATGCTCTCAACTCGATGTGAAATCAGATCCACTTACATTCTAAATTGAACTTCAATCCCCACTTCTCGCACTCATATTGCAACCACGACTTTTCAGCCTCCAGCGACAGCTGTCCTGAAATTCACACACACACACAGTCAGGTCGTACTTGCGCGAATTAAATCGTCGCGAATGAAAGTGCGCGCGCGTAAACACTTACTCGACACGAGAGTGTCCGGCGGATATCGGAAACTAAAGATCCAATCCTCCTCCACCTTCAATATCCGGCCGGTTATGCGCGCGTAATATTCGTAATTGTCCCTGCCGAACAGATTGGAAACGCCAAAGTTGTCTATCATGAACTTGGTGATGCGGGTGGCAACCTGGAAATAATTTGCCGATTATTACCGACAAATAATAAATTGAAATCCTCAACAAAATCTCGATTTACAACGAAATAAATCCTCGAGCGATTCGGTTCACAGACTGAAGATTCTCTTAAAAGTTTGTACGTTTATAAAAAAATATGTACACAAAAAGAGCAAAAAATAAAAAAGAAAAATTAAGACTGTAATTACAAAAAAAAAAAAGAAAAATAAATCCACGAGCGATTCGCAATCTTCGTAAAAATTTATACATTTATAAAAAATGTGTTCCAAAAAGAAAAATTAAAAATACAGCAATCACGAAAAGATTTTTTTCTTAAGCAGCTTAAATTAAACTAAACCAAAATAATTTTTTAATGTTCAGATTAAAGAGCATTAATAATATTAATTAAGAAATGATAATAACTGGCAGAAAAAGAAACTGTCATGATGACAAAAAAATCAGAACTCATGTAAAATAATACCTTAAATCTGAGAACGTCCTCCATCTTAGCGGTCTTGCCGTCGCTGACGCAGCTGTGAAAGAACGAGGGTGCCACGGATACCCCCAGGGCCTCGCTGGTCATCCCCGTGTGCGCTCGCTCGCAGTTTACCGCCACTACCCTGAACGTTCCGAACAGCAGCACCAGCAACCGTTGCGTGTACATCGGCATGGAGGTAATTAATCTGCGCAGCAGTTAATTTCTTTTATGAAGCCAAATCAAACGACACAGTTTTCAAGGCAGATCCTCGTGTATACGTATAAAAATTTTTATTATTCTAGTTTACGATTACTCCGCGGACGTTTTAAAATATATATAGGTACGCGATGGAAGGACGTTCCATCGGATTCATTTATTTAGTATAACGCGAGAGATCAGTCACCTGTGTATCTGGTCCCGTTGTTGCTCCACGCTATCTAACTGGATTATGGCGAACAGTTGTTGCTCCATCTCTTTGCCGAATATCCCACCGGGTATCTTGCGCAAAAACTTCTTCAGCACGCTGGCTATCGTGTAAACGCTGAAATTGTCTATGTTGACCAGATGCCCGGTCTGCAGGAAGTGCACCAGCTTCTTCATGTTGCTGTGATGGCCAGGCGCCCGAAATATGTCCTTTCTGTGCGGGGCTTCCTTGTTCAATTTCAATATAAGGACCTGGAGAATAAAGATTTTATTATTACAAAATTACAATTTACTCCGCGGATGTTTTAAAATGTGCTTATAAATTGGGAAGACATTCGTTATTTACCAGTAATGGGCCGGGGATGTCATTCTTGCACACTTCGTTCAGGGGTACGCCGAACTTGACCCTGCAAAAGGAAAGCAGAGGCTTGTGCAAAACGTCACTTTCACAGGGAGACGCGAATACCTTCGGATTTGACTCAAAATCCGAACGCGGCAACGGCGGGACAATTGCGTGCGATTCAACTCTGAACGCGATATATCAAAGCGAGCCTGTCTAATGGTAGAGAGCGGGTTGCACGTTGAATTAGAGGCGGCACGGGTGGTGGCGTTTGTTACGCAAAACTACGCTACCAAACATCGCTACTTCCGGCGACCGCCGGACAGCACCAGCAGCCCTTCAACGGGTCAGCGCTATTAACGCGACGGATCTCTGAGTTATGCCATATTAGTAACATACGGTGCACGTAATCCTCTCTCAAATTCTGCAATTACTTACAAATTTCTACCTCTCCTCAGAGCATCGAGAACACATAACGCGGAGTGCTGACAATACTCGCCCGACACACACACCGTTAAATATGTATCAACTTATCACATCTGCGAAAAAATTCAAAAGGTCTTCATTACCCCGGTCAAATTCCTCTTCAACACATCGTCTCGCTGTGCTTAATTTATTAAGCTATACTAAATTAATGCTCATGTACAAGGTCAGCATTTCTACCAATTAACTTTAATCTCAGTTCAAAACTCTTTCTTCATAATTCAGAACTAAAAAAAAAAGGTAAAGAATAAATTAAATCGAGATCAAAGGAACCTACATTGATAAAAAGGAATATTAAGGTAACTACGTCCATTTATATAGCAACGTAGATTAACTGTAATCTCGATTCAACTTACTCTTTTCTTTATCTTTATCCAGTTCTAGGAATTTAAAGAAGATAAGAAGTTAATTAAACCGAGATTAAAGTTAATGTCTACATCGATAGAGGTGGACGTAACTCGTGTAAAACGATCAGTTGACTTCGCAATTACATAAGTCTATTTTGTAATCAGACGATCTATATGCTTTCTACTCTTTGTTAAAGTTATGCCATTGCAACCAAGACTTTTTTCGAAAATTTCTATTCAAATTTATGCTCAATTAAATACACACGATCACATGAGAGATCGGCATTCTCTATTTCTTTTTTTCTTTTTGTTTTACCGCGCGTGTTGCATTGCAATCAATGCATTGTGTATATTCGTCTCCTTCCCCTCCCTCGACAGAGAGGAAAAAAATACAAATCCATACCGTGTCTCCGCGCGACACGCGGGTATAAATACATGAAAAACCATCGCCGCGTTAATCTTAAATATAACGCACGCATCTAAAGATAAAATATCGATCAACGTGCGGCCGAGGGACGAGCGTTTTTTTTTTCTTTCTTTTTTCAAGCAGCGCTATACTAACTTTTCCAGGCGTCTCGGGTGCGGAGGCTCGGTGGAGGGATGTCCGCAGCTGGTTACAACATTTCCTAACGTTGCGGCGCGTCGATGCATTCTCTCCGTCCAGCTGCTCATTGTTCACAATCTAACTGGGCAAACGGCATGCGAGCACCGAGATCGCTGCTCCTGATGGGGGGGTCTCCTCTCCTTTTCACCTCCCGCGAGCGAGAGAAGCCACGCTTTTTTCCTCGAAACTCCTCGTGCCACCCCCTTAATCCAGTCGCTGAAAGCACACGGCGAGACTGTCATTCATTCCTGCTCTCGTCACAGCTTCTGAATTCCGAACCCGTGCCACGTTGTTTTTACAGGAATTTCATTTCCCCGTTTGTTTACATTGAGCATGAAGGTAACTGGCCCTCGACCTTCTCTCTCCCTCTCTTTCTCTCAGGGGATTTGTTGACGTTTTCTCGGAATTTCTCGATTGTTGATGGGGGCATGTCCGCGCGCGATTTCGACCGACGTTAATAGATAGGAACGTGAGCTTGAATAGAGAACGGATTTGTAGTACGATACGATTGAGTTTCGCCGATGGTTCAAGAAGATTCAATCGAATTGGGGGGGAACACGATAATCGGCATCATTGTGTTTTCTATGAAAGAATGTGTTGACGCAGCAAGAGGTCAGTATACAATCACATTTGATTAAATCCGAATAGAATAGAATCTCAAAAATTGATCGACTCGCAAAATGATTTCGACGGTTGAACGACCGGTGTGATTATCCTACGCGACACGTATATATGAATATCTGAAGAAACTAGGGAAGCACACAGGTGGAAGACGAGAAACATCAACGACTCGACGAGAGAGAGAGAGATGTAAGTGCGAGGCGAGAGAACGCAAATGCAACCTTAACAGCAGTCGTGACAGTCGACGGCACAGAAGGCACGGGACGGTGCGAGGCGGAAATCTCACCCGTCGAGCGTCGTCGGGGCGAGGCTGAAGTAAGCTTGAGCGTCCCGCGTCAGGTTAACTTAACCTAACCGCGCGCGCGGGGGGACAGGAGGCCAGCCGCGGCGGGCGGATGACATCGCGCGGCGCGACGACCGGGGCGGCGAAGGTGGGGGAGGAGGAGGAGGTGGAAGTGTATAACAAACGCGGCGGAGGTGCCTGCTGCCGCACGCACCAGCCGCGTCTACGTTTCCATGGAAATGTCGCGGCCGCGGTGCCGAGCCACCAACGGCATCGTCCCGGCCGCCACCGCGCTGCCACGCCAACGTCACGTCACGTTACGCCCGCGCCACGGCACGTGTCCTCCTCCTCGTCACCCTCGTGGCTCGAGACACGGCAGCAACAGCAGCAGACCGACGCGCGACGTCGTCGTCGTCGTCCCCTCGTCGGCAGTAGCAGCACCTCCTCGTCACACAGGCGCGTCGTCGTCGACAGCGTGCGAACGTGGGCCGCCAGCAGCAGCAGCGAGCCAGGACTCAGGAGGAGGGCATCTCACGTCCCACGTCTCACGTAACCACCACTCACTACCACGCCACCGCGACCCCGCAGCAGCAAGCGCACGCACCACCACCGTCCGCAGTAGTAGCAGCAGCAGCAGCGGCGGCGGCGGCAGCAGCGATCGTCGCAAAAAATCAATATGGTGCCCCCGCCACCACCACTGCTGCCGCCGGACACCGACCGCCCGACGGACGGACGGATAATCGATTAATGGCGAATTCACATGGTGGCCCCGACGGCCAATGGGAAAGTAAGTCCGAAAGGGATTCCAGCGATGGAAATTATAATTTCATACACAGATGTAAATGCATTAAAGAAAGAAGAAAAAGAAACGAGAGAGAAGAAAAAAATAAAGAATTAAGAAAAAAAGAGAAGAAAAAAGAAGAGAAAGGAAAGAAAACTATGTCCAATATATAGTCTTCGTTAAACCATAAATTTTTTCAAAAGACTTTTTCCTAACAGTTAAAAGACTAATATTTATATATTAGATATAATTTCTTCTTTTCTTCTTATCATCTCGATCTTTCCCGTTCTTCTTTCTTGAACATTTAAATTAGAATTTCCGTTTTAATTTATTTAGAGATTTACAAATTTGACAAATTCGATCGCTGAAATAAATTTTAGGCTTGGCTCGTCCCAATTTTGTTTCGATTCCAATTTCCAATTATAGCGATTTAAGTCCAATCTCGAATCAAGTCCGTATTTCGATAATTTTCGATACGGAGTTCAGAGCGTGGCCAGATCGCGTGCGGCGCGTCGACCAGTTCGGACGTACTTTTGCTCCACAAAAGATTTTTTGAAAGACATATAAAGCTCTTAACCGACGTCGATCGGCGTTTGTAGAATTTTTTTTTTTTGCATTTCATTTCAATTCGTCTATTAAATCCTGGTCCTGTTGAACTCTTATACATAAACAAGGAAGACGAAGAAAATGGAATGCGGCCGATAGACTTTACTGCGACGACCCTAACCTCGACGGTTGTTTACCGTTTCGCACAGGATGTGGTTTGCGCGCGTGCCTTTTAAACACGTTTGTTTACACACGCCGGATCGCTGTGACAAAATTGACAGCATGTGCGCGGCAACGATAATCCTTTGCTCCGTACTACGAAACAAATGAAATCTTTGCTCCGTTATTACACGCGAGAGAACATGCGGACAATTCGTTTTGTGATTTACCACACGCAAGCCGCACCAGCGGTTTGAAAATCGAATTTAAAAATCCAAACGTGATTGCAAAAAGCGTCAAGCGAATTTTTCTAATTATGTAAGCGATTCTAAGTCCTTATAATATTTTACTAGGATTGCGTCTTCAAAGTTTTAACTTGTTAAATTTATAGTTTTAATCTTTCTCAGTTCATTCATTTTTTCTTATAATTAACTAATTATTCCTTGCTACTCATTGCCAGCGACGTTAATTTATCTTTCTGTCGTGTGCTAGGCAAAATCGAAACAAATTTGCACGAGGTTTTTATTAAAGAAGAGAAAATTAATCACCTTGACGAGATGAATAACAAAAGAAAGACGATGGAAGATGACGGCAGCAGAGCGCTGGGATTTAAAAGAGGATTGGAAGCGGATAAGATTCTCGGCTCGGCGAATGACAACGGAGAGTTGATGTATTTGATACAATGGTAGGTAATCTATAACGCACATTTACGCCCGTTCCTATTTACGTGGATTAACTTTAATCTCGGTTTTTGCTTGCTAATTTTTAGTTATTTTTAGTTCTAAAAATTATATTTAAAGAAATAAAAATAAATGAGAAAATTGAACCGAGATTGAATTAAATTAATTAACGTTGGTAGAAACGGATATCAGGGACTTAATATTACGGTTCTCGGAAATTGGTGAAAATTACAAAAATACAAGAGCAAATTCACTAGGTGATGACCAATGAATTAAGTTATGATATTCTAATAAGTAATAATTAATAATTCTAACAAGTGCTAATAAATATTTAATAAGTTTGCTTGCACTTTTTACAATTTTCATCATGCAATTTCCGAGAAATTGGTAAAAAAATTACAATACCGCGTAATAGACGCCGTGAAGGAGAATCTAAGCTAATGTATAGAAATCTGTGGCTAATGTTAAGTAAATTGAAAATAACCGAAGTCGATTGACGAACAGAGATCATTTCGCTTGCGCAGGAAAGGGACGGATTCCGTCGACATGGTGTCTGCCAAAGAAGCCAATGCCAAGTGTCCTCAGATCGTTATCCGATTTTACGAGGACAGGATAACTTGGAGTAAGAGGAAGGTGAAAGCGTGAAGTGAACTTTCTTGAAAAAGCTAGAACCCTACACATCCTTTAAGAAATTGAACTTTCACCTAGATGTAATAAATGTCCTTAATGTGTGCGACTTTCTATTTCGTGTTCTGTACATGTATTTAATGAATATGCTCTTTTTTTTAAATATCGTTCATTCAGTTTCTCCCTCAACCTCGATGCACTCCGTACTTAGGCGGGTTCACCTATTCTTTCTCCCTTACAGAAATTTAAGACTTAAACGGCGAAATAATTATTTATTTTTTACGTTTAATTAAACTCTTATAAAGGATGGCCATGTTTCGTAATCGCATTTTCCGTCTCTTCTCTGCAATTTTCGAACAGGAAAAAAATGTTAATTTCACGAAGTACCAATATCGATTATTCTGGGAATGCGGGTGCAATTTACCGAAAAATGTTTTGAAGAAAAATATTTTCCATTTAGAAAGATATATAATATATGAGATAATTTATACGCTTTGCCTATTTCAAATGCAGGAAAATGTGTGTGTGTGATGTACAGTTGAAAAGAGCAGATATGCCTATAAGATCCACGAATCCACAGCCTTGTTTCATCGTTTTATTGCTTTAGACAAAGGTCAAATACAATGTGTATCTATATATTTATATATATCGCAATATTTATACATATGACCTTACGTTTTTGTTGTTACCAGCATATCTCTCCTAAATTAATTAGTGTATATATATATACATAAATTGCATCGTCGAGCTTCTAACAAACCTACCGTGTCGCTTTTATTTACAAAGATGTGTTCGGTGGCACTTAATTGCACGTGATGGATGTTAAACGGAGATCAGTAAGATCTTGGAGTGTCTACAAGTCCCTCGGAGCAAACGGATCATAGAAATTTTTTAGAAAGGTCAAGATTTAAAAATCTTTATCGTGAAATATTAAAGAAAAATTCACATTTTAACGGAATATTTTGAAACAATCTCAATAAAAACAAAATAAAATTGCAATCTCTTTTGCAATAAACGATTTCAAAATCTTGAAGTTTTCAAATCAAGGATCTTTCGAGAGTTTTGCTCGTCATAATCAACACAAGGACTTTCTGGCTTAATCAATTGTTAAAAAAAAAAAAGAATTCATTGAGTCTCTCAATTTCCTGACACAATTTTCGAACATAAATGAATGAGAGACAAAAAGAAAGAGAGATACGTAATATCGGAGCATTACTCGCATTATTATTTACATTACTATTTACTTAAAAGTCACGTCTGGGGTATCATTTTGAAAAAGAAAAGGAAAAGAAGTACGACAGATTAACAGACTCCGAGCGACGGCGGCGGTACGAGTACAGTGTGATGTTATTATTATACATGTTGCGGGCGCGCGAGCGAGTAAGATCAGAACTTCCTCGGTCGGCCGCGTTTCCGGGGAGTTGCGATTTTACGCGTGCTCGGCCGGGCGCGCAGCTTCCGCCGCATTATCCTGGTCGAGCTGCCGGTGCCGCGCTGCGTATCGTTGTGCATTCTCATGTGTCGCAGAAACAGTAGTCTGGACTTCATGAACTTCTTACAGATATGGCACTTGCGCTCTGCAAGCAAAACAACGATGGAGATGAAAGATCTACCACCACACTTGGACATCTCGCGTCCAGGAACGTAACGATCACTCTTAATCGCGATATTTTCATTCGATATTTTACTTCTGTTAAGAAGAGAAGAGCCAGTTAGAATTTATGTAAGTTAAAATTTAAATTTATTAAATGTATACATATATTAGTACATATATTAATTATATAGTTTGTTACGAAAACAAGAAGACTCAACTCTAATAATGTATAAAAAAAATAAAATATTTCTCGTCCAGTCTTAAAATTTGTTACATTCCAATAACATGTATTAATTTTACATTCCAATCGTTACGTTTCTCTTCTAACTTCGACTTGCAAGATCAGTATACCTTTCTTAATGCCGTGCTGCAGGCTGTGCGCGTCCAGTAGAGCGGTACTCGGGAACCACCGGCCGCAGTCCACGCAATTGAGCTTCTTCGTCTGCAGCGAATAATTAATCCTCTTTCGTTTTCTCTTCACTCTGGCGAGCATACTGAGCTCTTTCTCCGTCGTCTTGCCTTCGTCCGATTCCTCCTCCTCCTCCGACGACGACGACAAACTCATTTCCTTCTCTTGAACCGACCTCAAGGATTTACTTGAAGATCTGTCGAAACAAGATGACGAGAAATTGAAAGAGAGAATCAGACGTGTATTAGATTTGAAACGATAAATAACAAGCAATTTTATGTATGACAGAAAAAAAATATCGCATACTTTTCCGTGGAGAGTCGCAACTTCTTCTTTCGCTGCGAGTGCGTCGCGCGCACGTGACGTGCCAGGGCAACGGCCGCGTCGAACTTCTCCTGGCAGATCTTGCAGGCGTACTGCTTCTTGGCCTTGCCACCCGCTCTGCCCCTCGATTTCGCCTTGTCGAGATTGAGGGCCTTCGCCGGCGATTTCTGGCATACCAGGAGGTGCATTTTGAGAGTACGTCGGTACCGAAAGTTCCTGGAGCAGTGCTCGCAACGTATCACACCGTTGAGCTTCGTCAGATGTCCACCACCGGGCCGCCAGTCACTCTCATCGTCGTCGTCGTCGTCGTCGTCGCTGCGATCGGAGTCCGAGTCCCTCACCATGATTATCTCGTTTTCCTTGTCGCTGGAATACTTGTCCTTATTATTGTCGTCCAGAGTGATCTCCACCACGTTGCGCGTCGTTTGCTGATCCTCCTCGTCGACATCCAGGTCGATCACCTCCACGACCTGCTGGGTTTCGGACACGTTAGAGAGATAATCTAAGCGAGAATTTGTGAGATTTTGATTGACGCTTAAAAATATTAGCACATTTAGATATTTTTCTTCAATTTTCTCTCGTTCTCTGAAAAGTATTTAATTTTACGACTTTTGATTGCATAACATGCGTCATCTAAACGGAAAGTCACGAGTATTAAAAAGAGTTACAAATATTAGACGAACTGGCAGATCAAGACTCGGTAAATTGGACCGTCGAGAACGCGACAATAATTAATCCTAATTTACTAGTCTCGCTTCCGCATGAATACCTTCCGCCGCTTGATTCGCTTCGTCCGCTTGATCCTCTTCCCGGCGGCCATGGCGACGCGTATCTGCGACGACAACGTCTGGCGCCGGCGAGTGCGCTTCTTGTTGGCCAGCTCCTCGTTCATCATCAACGCCGGCTGGATGATGATCTCTCCGTCGTCCCGGTCCACCGAGATCAGTTGCTGCTTGCGCGACCGCTTGACTTTCACCTTACCCGACGTCTGCGACGTGGCCATCACCGTCGGCGGCGACGTGCCGGTCAGCGTGTCGATCAACCGTTGCCGATCGCTCTCCGTGACGCACGTTCGGTCGATCGTCGACCGCGGCGACGAGCAAGGCTCAGATTCGACCGCGTCCTCGTTCAACGGCGAGTCGACCTTCATCGAGGTTTCACGCAGGATACTCAAGCTATTGTCCGGCGACTTGCCGCCGGACTTTTTGTCGTTCGTCTCGAACGACTTCTTGCACGGCATCTTCATGTTCTGCAACGTCGCCTGGATCTCGTCGAACGTCAGCTCCGAGTCCGACTGATGGTCAGCTTCTAGGAGGATGTACTGTACCGTCGAATGCTCCATCAGCTCGTCCTCGAGATCATCTTGACATTCGTGCGATTGCTCGGCTAAAAACATGCATTCCTTATCTTATACGTCCACGTAAAAAAGAAACACATTGTTGCTATGTGATATATTAAAAGTTAGTGTTGTATAACAAAATTTTATTGACGCAAATTAATTTTTGTTAAAAAAACATGTTACTCTATATTTCAAAAATTAAAAAATAAACTTTTTTTATATATTATCTTTGAAAGAGTCAAATTACATGTATGTTAATAGCATATATTTATATTTTCATATTTATGATATCAAAGATAGTTTTAATTGTTTCAAAAATTATCGATAGCTTTTAAAATGATATACAAACAATATTTCTTTTCGAACAGAATAAAACTCTACCGAACAAACTACGATATCCAAATTTCAGAACAATTAATTTTGTAATCTTTATTTTATATAATTTTATCTGACCATATACTTTAGTAGCGATCGTAGCGCAGAATTGTGTGCGTCTACTTTCGACCAAAGATTGATGATTATTGTTAATATTTTCATTATTGTACCGATAGTTCAAATCCGAGTTCAAATCCGATTAGAACGGATTTTTATTCGGTCGCTATCTTTCGGAAGGAAGCAACACCGGGGGTATATCTTCTGACGAGAGGCAAAGGACCAAGATGACGATGAGGAGCAGGAGGAGAACGGCAGAATAGAAGGAAATTATGAGAGTTCCCAAAACTGTAGCGACTTTACCGAAGTTAATACATATATCGTAAACACATACATACCGATATTCACAAAACTGTCATCCATCATGAGATACGTAATATCCGATTGCTCGTCGACGGCCGTGTGAACGCTATCGCTGGACTTCGAATTAACCTTGGTGATGAAGTCGCTATAGTTTTGGGAAATCTCATAGTTTCCTTCCACTCTGCCGTTCTCCTCCTGCGAAACGGTCTGCTTACTGTTGAACGACGCATCGCAGATGGAGGTCTTGTCGTTCACTTGCGACAGAAAACCGTCCTCCTTGCGGCAGAACATCGGCGGTGGACCAGTGAACACTCGTCTCTTCATCTGCGACGGCTTCTTCACCGTTCGCACGGCGCCCTGGCCTATCAAACGCTCCACGTCTGCTCTGTAATTACATCCACGCTTGTAGTTTCTTAGGTAATCGGCATACAAAACTAAGTAAAAAAAAAAAACAGGGAAATTGAAATCTAACTAAAGCCAATTTTGTTTTCTTAAAAATATTGTTTGTGTATTATTTTAAAGCTACCGAATAATTTCTTGAACAATTGAAGTATCTTGACTATATCTTTGATATCATAAATATGAAAATGAATATATATGCAATTAACGTCTAATTCTTTCAAAAGATATTTCTTTTTACATGATAATATATTTAAAAAATTATTTTAATTTTTAAAATATAGACTGTTTTTTTTAATAAAAATTAATTTGCGTTACACAATTACATTTTTTTCTAAAAAATCAAGACTTTGAAAACCAAGGTTTTTAATTAAAGCCACACACAGGAATTTGCATCCCGTGCGGACTTACTTCATAAGGAACTGGAAATTATTCGGTGGCTCGTCGGACTCGTTGTAAACGGCCACGGCAAATATCTCATCCGAATCTTCCACAGCATAGAGAGCCAAGTGCTGTCCCTCCGCGGTGACGAAAGTGGCGATCGTTTCCTCGTCATCCTCCTGCTCCTTTAATTCGTTTTCCTGCATAATAATAGCAGTAATGATGATAATAATAATAATAGCAATGGCAACAACAAAAACAACATGATAATGGTGATGTTTATAACAGCAATAATGTACAATAATGAAAATAATAACAATGATAATAATAGAAATAATAACAATAATTTTTATTGCACATATAAATATATGTATGAAATAAATCTTATATAAATATAATTGTGTAAAAACAATCAATTGTCAAAGTCGATACGGTAAATTTATCAAGAATAAATCGAGCATTTGATTTTCAAATGTATTACCTTCAAAATGGGCGCCTCGACGTTCTCACCGTCCCATTTCTCAGTGATCGACGAGTCCTCCGTCAGCGGAATACCAACTATGGACTCCTCGAATCTGGCGGCCGTATCCACACAGGTTTCCAGACTCTCCTCAAAATCCAAAGTTGCCTCTGTCCTCTGGCAATCTACTTCGCCTGGCGAATGTCCATTCGTACTCACAACTATCTCCTCATTGATAACCTACGATAGAAATCTCATCAGTATGCTGGCACCAATCCATCCTGACCAACGCTATGGCTATCCGATACTCTACCTGACTCTCCCCGACATTGTCTTGCTTCGGAAACAAAGCTGCGCACTGTTTCGGCTCGCTCTCCAAAAACTCAGACCTCAGGATTATCCCTTGGGCCACCACTTGCCCGCAAACGTCCAGCTCGCTGGTGAACGACATACCCGAGGATGAGTATATCAATTCGACATTATCGCGGTTGAACGATTATCATGGTTACTGTCTGCAAAAGTACAGAAAAATAATATTTCCATTAATTTAACGTATCCTTAAATTATTGAATAACTAATAATCGATTGAAAGCAATGTACTCGAATGAACTGTAAATATCTAGATAATAAAAAACATGCATGGAGGCACGTATGTGTGTGTGTGTGTACACAAATGTGCACATGTACGTAATATACTTCAAATAATTAAAGTTTACGTCACGATGTACGTTAATGCAGTCCATTTAATTTACGCGACGGTAGCATTTCTCGGCTGTATCTCGCCAACGCGTTAAATCAGCGTCATCGAGACCCCAATTACTGACAGCCCTCCGCAACTCTGAGGGCCGCGAGCAGCGTCGTATGGAAAACGGGGAAACGAGTTCACGTCCCTACCTAGTGCTTCTCGTTCTAAGCGAGCGGGCAAACCTCGCGGAGGGACCGCGTTCGTTTCGTCCCTTCGACCGAGCCGCGAACCCTCGGAGCCACTATTACAAGTGCGTTGCGTAAACCGCTCAAACGGAGGTTATGCTCGTCAGTCTCGGTGCTATGGAACCGGGGGGGGGGGGTGATGTGCATACTTGCTCTCTCTCTCTCTCTCTTGGGTACGCGCGGGTAAACACGCGCGCCCGACGACGGACGCCGTTCTTTCGATTTCCCTTCCGAGAGGTCGTCGCCGACCGGCAATGCGAACCCCGTTCACCAGGACCTCCGTGACGGAGAACGACATAACATAACAATAATAGCGGGCGGCACAACGGAGGTTCGCCCCCGCCGTCGCCGCACCGCTGTTGTTTTCGTTTGTGTTGTGGCCACCGCTACTTCGATAATCGCCAATGACCAATCGCCGTGTCGCCTGATGGGACACGCGGCAGGCGGCAGCACCGTGCCAGTCCGACGCTGCGATTGGCCGCGCGGCCGTCACGTGACCAGGGATTTTTCTTCCCCTCCATTGGCTCCATTCGGATTTCAGTTGGTATACGCGGCAGTTCGGAGTATGGAGTTTGTGTGAATCGCCGTCGTGTAGTCGCCGAGAGGTTCGACCGAGTGTAATATCGATATTTCCACTTACGATATATGTATAATTTTCACTTCTTTTATTGTTACATTCAAAACTCCGCGAATCGTAATCCCTTGCCAAACTCTTTCTTTTTTTTGTCATTCTGGGGAATGTCCGGAACAGGCCTCGATAACCTCAAAATACTTGTCAATTGGAGTAACGTGACTCCGATTCTGCCGACATTCGAATTGGTCGGAGTGAATCGCTTCGAATGTTCGCTCCGAAGTCGAACGGAAATTCCAATCGAATAACAGAGGGTTCTCTTGAATTTTCAGAGAGTTCACGCCTGTGATCTGTGTGATGTGTTCGTAGCGCGTCGCGACGAATCATTTCCTGGCGAGAAAGAGAGAGAGAGGCGTGTTGAGACTGACCCCGTTGATTGGCAAAAATGGAATCGAGGATTATCGTCCTGGGCCTGTTCGTGCTCTTCGTCGCGATGGCGACGACGTCGGACACCAAGGAGCGGAAGAGGAAATCGTGGAAAGACAAGGATATACGGGACATGACGGACGCCGACCTGGAAAACCTGCTGGATCAGTGGGAAGTATGGGGCTGTTACGTTGCATTCTCAGATAATAGAAAGAAAATATTTGTCTCTCGGCATTGTGTGACTGTTGTACCAGTAGGATATAAAAAAAAGCAACGCGAACGAACTTCTTGATTTATGTAATATCTTAGGAAAACGACGAAACGAACGAACCCCTGGAGCCGGACGAGTTGCCGGAGCACTTGCGGCCTGCCCCAAAGATAGACATATCCAAGGTAATGCATCACAATTTTATCACGCGAGAATATATAGCTGTCGACTTCATGTCCATTTATATTAATAGATTGACTTTAATCTCTAAGTGTAAATTAACTAAAGATTTTAGATTTTAATCTAACTTCAAAGTTAGACTTTAATCTCAATGTAGATTAACTTTAATCCCTCTTAATTTAACTTTCTTTTTCTAAGAATTAGAATTTATTTTCTGAGAATTAAGAATCAAGAGCAAGTTGAACCGAGATATTAAAGTTAATTTACATCTAAAAAACGATCATTAAAGATTAAACAAGTTCGCCTGTTTTAACACATAAAACAATCCACAGATAGACATAAGAAAGCCAGATGGTATACTGGCTCTGAAGAAGGGGAAGAGCATCATGATGTTCATAGATCTTAATTCAAACGTCTCGGAGGAGGAAGCCAATATCGCGACCGGTATCTGGCAGACCGGCCTACAGAACAATCATATCATCGCGGAAAGGTAAGTGTACTGTTACACCCAAATACGGACACTTCAAGAACATTGGCGAGATGGGCGATTAGTAAGAATGTCGAATATGTTTGCTCTGTGCAGGTATCCGATTGAAAATAAACGTTATATATTCATGTTCCACGATGGATCTCAGGCTATTGAGGGCAAGAATTTTTTCCTGCAGCAACCTGAAGTCGCTCACGTCACTGTCGAAGGCCAAACATTTTACCCGCCGCAGAAGGACGTAAGGATAATTATATTGACTGAGACCCTTTTGTAATTTCTAATGGCAGAGTCGTTATTGTCGTTGCGCAGTTTTTTTTTTATCACATATACAGCCTTGAGTTGCCACAAGTGTAACGCAACAAGTAACCACAAATTTACATTCTATATCTGGCAAAAAATAAAAAATAGTCTTCTTAGAAAATAATATTTATCTTTTGAATTTTAATATTTGATTAATCCTCCGAAAAATAAAAATAGTCTTCTTAGAAAATAATATTTATCCTTTGAATTTTAATATTTGATTAATCCTCCTTTGGCCTTTATTGTGAGGCCTTCATTATCTACCTTTTCCAAGAAAATTCCATGAATTTGAAAATGCTTCATACTCGCGGCTAAGGCTGTATAATAATATCCGCGCGATATAAAGATACCAACATTGTTAAGAGTTACTACAGAATAGCGGCCGAGATCCTAGTGTTTGTAAACTTATTTGCGAGAGATAACGTGAACGTTGGTCTCTTTCTAGGGACAACATTCCATACCCGCCGACAAGCCAAAGGCCAAGGAAAGGACAGAAGAGTTGTAATCTCCCCTGGCGCGCGCCACTGCATTTCCGAAACATTTTCCATTAACTTGTCCTTGTACAAAAAAACAAGCATTCTTTCGAGGAATATATATTTTTTTTTCTTCATTTATAATGAATTGTTTTCAGTCGAGTGTGTTAAGTTTATACTGTGCGTTTATTAGTTTGTACAATAAATAAACTATCTTGAATACGCTATCTACATTCGAGAGCATTTATTGAACAACGCAGGATAAATAAATTCCGTAGGAGAGTGGCGGGGGAGGGCAACAACAACAACAACACGGGGACACGTCATACTTGGTCGAATTCACTTGGTCGCGCCAGTCTTGCTGGAGGGCTCCAGCTGTGCGTCGTTCATCGCCCTCACCTCTCGCTGGAGCTCCTTCACCACGGTCGCGAGGGCGTGCGGGTTCACCCCGTTCTCGCACAGCCTGATGCAGATGCTCAGGGTGGTCGGGTCAAGATTTGTATTCAGCAGCTTGGAGATCTGGTACAGGGTCTGAAATGTCTTTCGAGCGGCGTTCACCTGATGGTTCACAGGCTCCGGCATACTGGCTCGCTTCCGGTCCTTTCTAAAAAGAACAAGGGAGGGACTCATTATCGTGTCGATAACCTTTGACTGTATCTAATCAAAAGTTGTCATAATGGACATTTCTCTAACTCGCCAGCATTTTTGGAACAACTTTTATTGCACTCGGAAGTCTTTCTTGATATAAAGTAATCTTTATCTTTGTTAAATTTATTAAAGATTATCTTATTAAAGTAAAGTAATCTTTATTACATTTAATAAAGATAAATATAATAATAAATGTAATAATCTTTATTAAATTTAACAAAACTAAATTAAGAGTTACTTATATTAAGAAAGACTTCCGAGCATAATAAAACTAATTTCAAAAATATATAATAACATGCATTTGAGATAAATTAAATATATATTTTATATAACGTATAAATTATATGAATTTTTAAATATCAGGAGAATATATTCCTTTGGAAATCAAACGTTTCTGAAATTCTGCTCTCTTTCCTTGCTGGGAAATAACTAACAATGCAAACAGTCGATATTTCCAAAAACGAGACGCGTTGTCGCGGACAAATCCTCTTATAATTCCAAGAGTTTAGAAAACGAAATATTTATACGGTATTCGACAAAGCTTTCTTACAATCCGGCACATGAAAGAAAAAAACAGCGTCCAAACGTAAATCGGAGGTTAGCTTAGCCTCTCTCGAGGTGTTTTTTTTTCTTTTTACAACTGAAAACCGTTTACCTATTCGACATTCGTTATACTCTCCCTTGCCTTCGCGCGATTCGAATACTCACTCGTCGAGGTTGGACAGCTTTATTGATAGAAGGTCACGAACATCCGTTGGAAAAAAGGGATCGTCCCGTTCCGAGAAGCTCGCAAAAACCGCGACCGCGACGTGATCAGATGTGATTGTAAACACAACCGGGTTGAGACCGGCGATCTCTCCCGTACACTAGCGCTCCACATCCACGTTTTCAAAAAAGGAACTACGTACCACGTCTATCTTATAACTTTGTCGATCAAATCATAGCACGTGGCTGTGGGGGCACTAGTGTAAATTGCACGCGCGAATCGCGCAATGTTCTTGCACGTGTCTATAGCTTGTAAAGTTTTATTAGTTACAATTAGTTGATATTAACGTTTTGTGAATTAATTTTGTTGTGACTGAAGGAAAATAATTTTGTGAGTTGCTAATTCCTTCCAAAAAAATCGTATTAACTACAGTTTTACAGGTATTTTGCGAGGATGTTAGAGGTTATATCTGTTCTTGCATTTTTTTTTATAGATTAACAATGGCAACGTCGTTAGCAGCACAACTTAAAAAATTGCGAACACCGCAAACAAATTTACTTCTACAGGAGAAAAAGCGTCCTAGCTTGCTATTTGATCCAAAGGAGGCTGCAAATTTGGATAGGGACACTGTGCTGAATATAGGTTAGTTTCTCTCTCATCTCTATTAATAAGTCTATTAAATTTTATACATACATTTTTAGTAAAATTAATATATTTTTAGTAAAATTAATATCATTCAATTTTCTTTATCAATCTATCTTTACCAGTGTCGTTTTTACATTATTTTGATTGTTGAAATAAATAAAAATTATGCTTGAATTTCAATTTATTTCGAATTCTTTGAAATTTAGAAGAGACAATAGTTTACGGCCGGTTGTTACATTTTCGAATAAACTAAGTGATAATTTATTTAATGTCTGTAGAGATAGTGATTTGATACTGCACACATGTTAATTTTTAACAAGAGTGATTGTTGAAAATATTAAGAACTCAATAAATTTGTTTAACGTGTGCTATGCCTCGTCGTTTTTGCATTCTGTTCTGACTTTCTATTCTGGCCGCGTGTATCGTACACAATGTGATAATTGTTTGAATAAATATATTTTCTTAATAAGCCGTTTGGACTTGGCGTGAAACTGTAACACACTATAGATATGTGCTTATTACCTTTCGGAGGAATTGGGCGGTGGGCTATAATATCCTACTCTCAAGAATAAAATAAAATAATTTTCTAAATTCATTTAATAAAATAAAATAAACTAAAAATTAAAATATTACCGAAACCCTTAAGGAACAGAGAAAATCAAAGTCAACGACTTGGCCTGTCCATCTTCAGTTCTCAAGGCTTTCCTTAGGGATTGTAGGAATTTATAATAATAATAATATTTGGATAATATCTCATCTTTTGGTGTTACTCTTTTCATACATTTCATCTTTACAATTTCCTAAATTAAAGAGAATTGTGCTTCTAAATTGTAAGGAGAGAAGTACTCATGAAGAAATATTTTGTTATTATTTGACCTCATAGTTTCTTATGTGTTCTCAGGTCAGAGTGGTCTGGAGGAATTACAGAAGCTCTCGTCAGTATTTGATGAATTTCATGGCACGCTGTTTGCCCAGAGCTCTGTAAACTTCGAGAGAGCGATCCAGAATGTTATGTTAAATAAGCAATTGGATGCGGAGATCGCGAAATTTTTGTTATTAGCGACTCCCTACTTCTTACTGAATGCCTGCCACAAAGCTCTTGAGTGGCTTGTATTCAGATACCACATTCATCAGTACAATCGAGAGCAGTTTATTCTTCTGATTCTGCCGTATCACGAGACTCGCATGTTTGTTAGGTATGTATTATTAAAACTCCATATTTTTCTATCTAAAGTTGACTTAAACATCGATATTATACGTATAGCAAAATATATGTTGCAGATAATTTACATGTATTAAAAAATATCAAATTTTTATTACCATAATTATATATATGAAATATGAGTTTGTCAGTCAATATTATATTTCTTTATTTACAATTTCCAACTTATAATAAAACGAGATATATAAGTGAAGAATGAGATCGAGCCTGAAACCTATTGACTACAGTTAATTTTACAATTCTTAATGTCCTCTGGCAAAAGACGCAGAATTAAAATTAAAAAATATTTTAGGAGCATATTACTATAATATTTTATTAGATATTAGATTGGGAAAGATACTTTAATTTTAGTTTTATGAAAAATATTTTTTTTTATTTATCTGCACTTTAGTTTTACTTTAATTCTTAATCTATTCTTATTTTCTTTATGAAAAATATTTTTTTAATTTATCTGTTACTACTTTCTTATACGCATTCTCAATACATGTTTGTCTTCAAAGCAATTAATTAAAAATCTACAATTCTGCCCTTTCAGAGCCCTGCAACTGATAGACCTGTCAGACGAGAGCGATAAGTGGCATTGGTTGGCGCCAATGCAGAAACGCGGTATAATTCTGTCTTCCGCAATTCTTGTTGAACGTTTGATCTCGGATAAAGGATTCTTGAAGACGCTATGTACTCATGTGGTATTTGCCACGAAGACTTATTCCGATCAGGCATCTTGTCTGACCACTTTGTATGCGTTTTACACTACTGCAATGTTAGGTGTAATCGAACTAGTATCCATCACTGAGGTCCAGGTGAACTATCTGCTGCCAACTCTTCTTCATGGCTTGAAAAGCCCCATTCTTGATTTCGCTGCCAGCAGCTATATGATCATTGCGAAACTGATAACGAAGGTAAGTTACCTCTGTCTTAATTATACATTTGACTTTTTTTTAAATGTTTCTGTCTTAAAACTTGAACGAGTAATTTTAGTTTCGCAATACGTTGTTAAAAAATTTAATTTATATTTTATGTACCATATTTTTTTACCATAGTCTCTTATTTACCATATTATGAATCAATTTGTAAATAAATATTAAAAATATCAAAATTATATAAATTCGAGGTTTTATAATATATCAGATAAACAAAAAAATAAATATTTTTCATCAATTTGTCAATAAATATTAAAAATATAAAAATTATATAAATTCGAAGTTTTATAATATATATTATATTATAAATCTACAGGCGAAATTGAATGGTGACACCATGGAGAAGTTGTTGTTGATGACGTTCAAGAATACGCATCTGAAACAGGAGGCTACCATTTTTCTGCTCCATCTTTATCAATCTCCGATTAATCGTTTGACCGTTGTACCGCAAAGTTTGGTCCTACAATTGTCCGAACTACCTTGGTTTGTTGAAACGGTTGCGACGATTCATTCGAGTATTAACGCGTCACGCTTTACTGTGTCCTTTCTTCAAGCAGCTTGCCAGCTCGTCGCCGAGAATCCTAAAGACACCAGCAGTGTGCAGAACACGATCGGCAATCTGTTGGAACACATTAGACTCGATAACGACGCGGTAGACGCCATTCTGTCTGATGTACTGACATGCGAATTCTTTAGGAATGAAACTTCTAGGAGTGCGAAAGACTTCCTAGCTAGATTCTATCAGAGTTTCGAGCGCAGCTACCCGGAGATTTTTGACAGGTATCTAAAGAAGTTGATGAAGCAGGGCGAGAGTAACGAAAACGCTAAACAGGCATTACGTTTTCTCACCTCGTGGCCCTTTGGCACCAAAGACACGCAGGAGTCCGTTGAGATCTTGGACAAACTGATGCACATCAGCGCTGCCCAACGAGTGATTGCTCTCGAGGTCCTTGCCAAGAACAACGTGAACGTGTCCGAGAGCTTTCGCAGTATAATGGCGAGTACTCTTCAAGCCAGATTCTACGATGACGACGTGAATGTCATAAGGACTCTGCTGTCCTTTCCCACGAGGAAACTGATTGGCTTATTACCCACCGACACTCTGGTGGACGAGTTATTGATCCTGTTGTCGACGTGTCACACGGCATCGAGGAAAGTGTTGGCCAAACCAGCTCTGAGAATACTTTTGGATCTTTGTGAAGAGAGCGACGACACGAACGTGTTCATCACGGCTCTACCGTACTTATTTCCAGCGACAAACGAGGACGTGGAGGTCGCTATGGAAGTTCTCCGTTCGAATTTCGCTAGAAATAACTTGTATATGCGGCACGTGATGGAGGACGTTGGCAGATCTAAAGTGAACGCGGAAGCGGTGTCTTCCGCCGCTTTTCACAACATCTTGAACTACGCGTTGCTACCGCCCACGGAGAATATATTGAATTCCATGCGGCAACAGATCTCGCACGGCGATGCGGCGTCGCTGTTCTTCAATCTGATCCTACTGGGATCGGTCTGCAGGGTGCCCGTGGGCGCGATGCCGGCGAAAACTGCGCGAGACGTCATCGAGATGGCCACGGAGATGATAAAGACGTACTCGCGCGTTAAGCTGCTGCGCGACTGCAACAACATTACCGGCAACAACATTCAGATGGCTGTGAAGCTCACGTCCGAGGGAATCTTGCCGCTCCAGGTGGGCACGTACGTCCTTGAAATGGTGCACAGGCGGCTGAACATCAAGTCCGAGTCGAAACTCGACTTCGACAACAACGTGGAACGAAGCAATCTGATCTTGCGGCTCCTAGAGATGTTCATCGAGGGCATGGACAATCGCCATTGGCGGAAGCACTACTCCAGATGTCTGCAGATCTTCTTCCAGCTGCATTTTGCCACAGTGAAGGATCTCATCTGCTTTCTCGCGCAGTTCTACGCGGAACCCGTGAAGACGAAGACGTCCTACCACTGTCTGCAGATTTCCCTGTTACTGCTGAATCAGTGTAAATCCGTCCATTGGGCATTCCAAGATCAAGACTTCGTGATCAATCTGCTGCTTTCACTGGCAAGACGTAACAACGAGTGCAGAAGAGTGGCGGTGGACATTTTGAAGAAGCTAACGCAGACCTTTAATCTCAGCGCGGAACCGTTCTTCGCGCTGCTGCAGAAGCTGGCGACGAAGAGCGGAGAGATTTGCAGCGATCCCGACGATCTTGCATTCAACTTCTACTTCTTCCTCTCCCCGGATCCGCATGTGTCTCGTCAGATAAAGGAGCACAAGAAATTGCAGCAGGCTCAGAAATTATTATTCGACGTGGTGACGCAGCAGAACGAAGTGTCGAAGATCCCGCTGAATCGAAGATCGCAACTTCTCGACATCCTGGTGAACGTTAACAGTACCGAAATCCTTCGGCAGCTGGCCCCGATGGGTCTTCAGCTTCTACAAAAGTTAGCGGAGGATCCAAAGAATCGGTCGGCCGGTAGTGCCTTGCGAAACATATTGGATCGTTTTACCATAAACACCATTGATGCCCTCAAGGACGAACGAGTGTGGTCGCTCTTCACGACGTGCACCCTGCAGCACGAACCCTGCGCGGTTTTGGAAAACGGCGAACGAATCTCGCCGAGCGTTATCGTGCTGAAACGGATCGACGTGCTCTTCGACGCGATGTCCCGTGATCTCCAAGTGAGCATCCTGTCGAAAATGCTGGACGTGATGATCGATTGCGAGATCAGCAACGTGGTGTCCGTCGCTGGCAAGACGCTTCGTCGATTGCACATAGACGCGACGATCCTGGTCTCCGAGTTGGAGGCCATGAAACTGAGCGGCCAGATTCGGGAGGAGCCGGGCGTGGAGACGACGTCGAGGAAGCGGAAGATGCGGCAGAGCCAAATCCGACTGTCGCACCCGGCGATGGTTCACAGTCGGCCGTGGAAGCGCGGTGTCGTTCTGCTCGAGTTCGCCGAACGCGCTGACAACATTAAACGCGAAGAACTGCTCTACGGTATACTGTTCGACTTGCTGAACGTTTGCCTGAGCCTGGAGGAGCAGAGCCCCGTGGAGTACACGAATCAGCTGCTCCTTTCGATGATCTTTTGGATGATGAAGAAGGAACTGCCGGTACGCGACGCCGACACGCAGATCGCCCTCATTGTCAAGTGTATCAGAACGTCGCGCAATCCCCAGACGCATCATCACGCGCTGCTGGTGCTGGTAGAATTCCTGAGGAACATGAATGTGCAACACGCCCTCCTTAATCTCATGCCGATTTTCACGTTCATGGGCAGCACGATCGTGCGGCAGGACGACGCTTACTCCATTCAGATCATCTCCAAGACTCTGGAAACGGTGGTGCCGATCATAAACGCGGCCGACGATGCGACGCATGCCTGCGAATTGCTGAGGACCTTTATCATCTCGTTGCCTCACATTCCCGAGCACAGGCGGATGCCGCTCTTCGTCAAACTGCTGCAGCTCCTCGGCAATCATCTGCATTTGTATTACCTGCTGACTTTCGAGAGCCACGTGATGAAGATCGCGAGCCAGAAAACCGAACGTCCCACGCAATGGCTGGATTTCGCTTGTCAGGTGTCTCAGGAATTTCCGCCGCATCGGTTGCTGCAGGTCAGTTCTCGAAAATCATTTTGACTTGGGATTTAGAAAATAATAATTTTTTTTTATAAAGTTTTAATGACACAATATGTTTCAGTAATGTGATTTTCTTTGAAAAGGATAATTATTTTCTTTTCTTTTAAATTATTTTATTTTTTTTTAAAGATAATTATTTTAATTTATTTTTTATTATCCAGAGATATAACGAAAAACTTTCCCGATTTCTGTTTTAGATTTGCACGAAGGTAATCCAGTTTGTCAAGGTCTTGCCAATCGATCTTGAGGAAGAGCAGGGCAGAAGAGAGGCGATAAAATTTCAGTACAAAAATATTTATGACGTGACCAAGACCACGCCGAAAAGCCTTCGGCACTACAAGATCACGGCTGTGCAGTTTCTCAGTAACCTCCTGTCGTCCGAGGACTTTATCAATCGTGTGGCTGTGTTGAACGAGGAGGAGGCGAACAACTTGAACGAGTACTGCGATCATCTGGCGATCGAGTTGATCCTGCTGATTCAGACCGTCTCAAAGATCGCTGACCAGCATCAAAACAAGCCAAGCGCCAAGTACTGGAAGGTGTTACTGCATCATTTGTACGACGTGTTGGATTTAGTGAACAATCTGCTGCCGAACACCCTGTTCCTTCAGAGTGTCAAGAACCTTCTGAAGCATGAATTGCTACCGGTGAAGAAGAAAGCTCTGGAATTGCTGAACGCAAGATTGCTTCAGAAGAAATTTGGTGAGGAGGTTTACGTGGATCTTCTGAGCTTGATCGAACCTTTGGCGGACTTCTTCAATGTTGACGTAAAGGTTGACAATCAGGAACAAGAGATCGTACAACAGACAGTGTTAATATCTTTGAAGCTGCTGGCGAAGTTGCTGGCCGTTGATCGGCCTGCCGTTTTTAGACCGGTATGTACATTTATTTAAAGTAAACTTCAAGTAAAATTTAAAGTAAAAAAAGTAAAGTAAGTTTTTAATTCAATTTTGATATTTTTAACGACATTTTGGTAACTTATTCATTAATTTTTCGTAGAAATCATTTCAATATTATTATTACTTATAATTAGTATAATTTCTATATGTATATTACTAGGCCATGATTACTATGGCCTAGTGATATTTAATAATACAGTGCTCTACTATAATATTATTTAATATAATTACTTTTTTTTAACTTTATGTATATTAATGATTGTCCACAGATTTTGGACGTAACAACAGATTTATTGCGATCGAAGAATGGTCCAGTGTTAGCCAATGCAGCGTTGTGCGTAGCAGAATTATGCAGTTCAATGCGAACGCACGCCCTGTACTCGCTGAATAAGTTCGTGCCAGCAATTTTGCAGTTACTAAAAACCCATTGTCATCAGAATGTGCCGGATGTAATAGTCATCAGTATTGTGAGTGCTTTGCAGAAGATAGTGGAGTCTCTGGGAAATTTCCTGTCGCTCTACTTGGATCAACTTTTGTCCGAATTAACGATATTGAGCTCTCAGTACATCAACACAGATCATCCTAAGGTACGCGTTTGATTTTTTCCTGCCACGTATTGTGACATATTTCAGTTTCTATCGCAGAAATTTTTTTGGCACCGTTGGTTTTTTTTTCTTTTTTTGAAACTTAATCATTTTTTGTTTATGTATTTGCAGGCCGTTATCGTTATTTCACGACTGAAGGCAACAACGCAGAAATTATCCAGTTGCATACCTCTGCGCGTGCTGCTGCCAGCTGTTCACGGAACCTATCAGATGCTGTTAGAAAAGAAAACTTATAGGTGTATACCGTCATTGATGAGCGTGCTAGCCGAGTCCTTTGACAGCGTGCCCCCGGCGGAGCTAAAGGTGGAGGTCGACAATCTCGCCAATTTCTTCCTCGAAGTTCTTCAATTCCGCGAAAAATTCGAGGAGACGAATAACGACGCGCAAGTCACATTAAAAGATATTGTCGCGATCGAAGAAAGCGCCAGCAAGGCGTTGGTAGCATTGCTCTTGAAGTTGAGCGAGGTAACATTTAGACCGTTGTACGATAAACTCTATGGATGGGCAGCGAATAACACACAGCACAAACAGCGAAATATAACGTTCTACAGGTATGAACAATGGAAAATTAGTCCACTAAATTATAGTTCAATCTGATTCTCAAGGCAGTTACAATTCTTGCTAATTAAATACTTAAATTGATCTATAATTATGTTAATATTGCAAATATTATATTAAGCTATAATAATAATAATAAGACTAAGTATTTTTGGTTTTAAGTAATTGAAAGAAATATCAATGAATTTTTAATGTCATAGATTAGATGCAATTTTAAAAGCTTTAAATATACATATAATTATTCTTTAACACGACAAATTTGACAAATTATTCTAATCTATTGGAAATATAGCAAATTAACGAAAAAAAAATCTTGTATTCAACAATTCTTACAAAAGGCGTGACTTTAATTTCTTTTTTTAGACTATCGGCAAATATAGCAGAATGCTTGAAGTCTCTATTCGTTCTGTTCGCTGGACTTTTCTTGAAGCATGCGGCATCGTTACTGAGCAGCAACAACATGTTTATAACAGACACCCCACAGGAATTGACGCTTCCTGACGAATCCAGCAGAATTGAGCTAGTAGAGGCGATTCTGCTGACGCTTCACCGGGTGTTCAGTTACGACGTGCATAACTTCATCGTTGAGGACCGGTATGAGATTCTCATGCAACCTATAGTGGATCAAGTGGAAAACACGATGGGCACGAGAGAAGAATACGAGAGTCGAGCCAGCCAGCTCATCGTACCTTGCATAGCTTCCTTCGCTAGTGCCATTTCCGACGATTCGTTACACAAGCAACTGGTCTATCAGATACTGCTGAAAACGAGGCACGCAAAGCCTTACGTCAGGAGCACAGCTTTGAATGCATTGGTAAGATCGAATATGATGATTAAGTTGAATTTGGATAATGTAAAAAGTTACTGTGCCGTAGAATTTCTATTTTTATTGTTTTAAACTTTGGTGATATATATACAATAAACGATTGTTATATAAACGAATTCAAGTTATATATGCATTCAAATAAAATTCAACAAAGAATTTTTGTTAAAAACTGTTTATGCAACTTATATACTTACGCTTGATCATAATTTACGAAAAAATTAGACTGTTGCACTGTGATTTTTTCTCGCATTTTAAACTCATTTAAATTATGTTTTATTTTACTTTCGATTATTTGCTATTGCGATCTAGGTGGAAATTGCAAGAAAACTGGGCGAAGATTTCATGCCGTTATTACCGGAAACAGTACCATTCCTGGCAGAGATGTTGGAAGACGAAGACGAAGCTACAGAAAAGTGTGCTCAGAATGCTGTCCGGACTTTAGAAGAAATTTTAGGAGAGCCTTTGCAGAAATATTTTTAAACTTATCCAAATGTGAATTAGCCTATAAATATGTAAATATGTATGCAGTTTTGTCTACAAGTCTACAAAAAAGTCTACAAACAAATGTGAGTTTATATAAAATATGTATTTATATAAAATATATTCATACATGTTTTATTTCTCTTGCACAATTTCTGGCTATATTTTTCATGTTGCTGGCGAATTTGCTAGCTTTTGACCTCGTCTTACTATTTTTAAAATTAGTATTTTTAAAATTAGTACATTTATCATTTTAATAAACTTCATAAGAATATATATATAGTAAATTTAAGATTTACGAAGAGCTTCTGAATTTGATCAAACCTTTGACTTCTTTGAAATAAAAGTTGAGAGTCAGCAGTAAAAGATCACACATATCAGATAGATAAAAGATAGTGTTAATATTTTTCATGTTGCTGGCGAATTTGTTAGCTGTTGACTGTCCTGCTATTTTTAAAATCAGTATGTACATTCATTATTTTAATAAACTAAGAATATGTATGGACTTCAGAATCGAACTATGGACTCCAATAAATAATGGTTGACGCAGAGCTAATCCTTCATCCCATGATATGTGCTGTTAAAAGTTTATGTCTATTGGAAATTACAGGTCTGAAAACTTTAACAATGTTATTACGAAAACATTTGTTTATTTTTAACTTATCTACAATCTTGGACGAAGTATAGAATATATTATTTCCTTACAATTATAATACAGAGTAACGTAAATATGCGTGTATTAAGACGTAACTGCATAATAAGCCTTATAAGTATGGACTGGCAATGTGCTATAGTTTCTGTATAAGAAGCAGCGTCCGGAGAAGATTGAAGAGAGAAAACGTACTTTTTAATAGTTTCTCTTTCTCAAAGTGTCCGGAAATATACATTGCGCATTTCAGTGAAACGTGCGGCGCGTTGATCACACAACCTATGCAAGCACAATGAAAATGTATGCATCAATCAGAATAGATAATAGGGGATCAATATACATATAATATGGGTCAACATGCCTGAAACGTACTTCTGAACACTTTTAAAAAGAGAAATTACGGACACGTATTTTGCCTCTATTGCCAACCCCATATTTATAAGGTCTATGCGTAATAGGCTTGCGAATTACATGGCGTTGAACCAACATAGTCCGTTTACTTAAAACGCTTTCAGACAGCTTTGAGACATTGGGCCTTAATCTTGGCAGCGTAAATTGCTCTAATCGCGCAGCTGTATTTTTTGAACATTATTTCTTGAAACAAATTCTGGCGAGCGCGGTGCATTGAATGATGGATTCGTTAAAGTGAAAATGACAATCAATCGGATACGCTCAGCGGTAAATGTGCGAGGAAAAAAATGTGCAGCGTTTCGACTGTATTCTTCGCGCATTTTTAGCGTTCAGCGTAACGTCGTCCAATCTCGAATTTTTTTCATTTCTCCAAATTAATGCGGCTGCACGAGGGAAAGATCTCGCGAATTCGAGTAACCACATGTTCTGCGCTGCTAGGTGCACGGCGTGATGCACGCGCACACGCGACTTCGCTGCAGCGAAAAGAGGCGTCTGTCCTCGCTTTTTCGAGCGCGCAGCTTTTCAGCAAATTGCACGGGATCATCGCGAGAACCTCGGAGTCCTTCGGGAATCGATCCTGCTGGGACGTCTTCGCGATGACCTCCAAACTTCACGTGGACATCGATGACGACTTCTCGTCGGTACCGATGGCCACGCGTGCGATTAGCCCGGACCCCTAAAATCACACGTTGGGTACGTCAGTTGGGCCCTGAAGAGCCATCTCTTCGCCCTGCGTCGTGGCCGAGAGCTTTCTGAAAACAGAAAACAAGAGACTTGTTTATGCCTTGCCTTCTACGCCGCTTATATTTCGTTCAATTAAATTTCTGCTTCCAATTTCTCGTAATATTTCGATAAAAATTGTAACGATAATATTGTGTATAATAAAGGAAATATTTGACCTTTTCTAACAATTTTACGCGTTGAATATTTTATGCATTTATCAGATTCTTGTGAAACTTTTAACACTTTTGCAATCAGTAATAAACAAACTCTTGTTTTATTTTATTTTTTCACGTAACTTCGTTTCTCTTATTCTATATCGTATTTCTTTTTATTTACATACATATTTTATAGATGAAATAAAGGAAGAAAAAGAATACGAAAAAAATGACTGAACGCTAAATTTTCATTGCCTGTAATACGTAGATACATTTTAATTAAGAGGTTTTAAGCTATTTAATTTTTACACTAACGAGTTTTTATTCTAAGAGATTGAATTGTTATTATTACATTCCTTATTTAATAATTAAGAGGAGTGAATATTGCAATTTTAATTTAATTTCGTAGCTTTCTATTTCCATTATCTTTTGAGTGATACTAATTACCGTGGGTTTACACTGTTAAATCTATAGTGTTAAACTGAACATTATTTAAGTCGCTACTGCTCCTACTTAATAAATAGTTATTTTTTACTAAAACAATGGAGTTAAATAATTTAAAACAGGTCAAATTTAATCCAAATTTAACTTAAATTCTATTGTTTTATTTAAAAGTAACTAGATTGTTTTAGTTAAAAATAATTATTTATTAAGTAGGAACAGTGGCGACTTAAATAAGGTTCAATTTGACACAATAGATTTAACAGTGTAGCAAATCAGTTAAGCGATATAAATAATTATAAACATTTCCATTATTTATTAGACACCTGAATGTTATTTGCTCTTTTCTACATCGAATGCTGTGAAAAATTCACTATTGACTCGATTATCTGATGTCTAAAAGAATCAGATTTCATATAATATCCAAACAGATAGAAAAAAATATAATTTCAAAAATCGTAATACATTCTAGTTGTGCGTCTTTCGCCAAGGCTTCTTCCTCGTCAAGCCGACTATTTTTATGCCGCGTCCGCGATGATTTGCATGATGTATTTACAATGCACTCCTCGTATCAGTCAATAAAGCGCGTAATACATGCGGTATCCGAAGAGAATCTGCCCGCGCCTTCGCCATATATCAATCAGATCGCGACGTCGAATTAGCGAATTCAGGCCGAAGTTCTCTGCCGAAGCTCCCAGAACGCATCACGTGTTACTGCACGAATTAAATGCAACGCTAACGCGCCCGTGAGAACGCGTGCAACACATCAGCTCGCTCGCTCGGAAATTAATTTCAAACGTACATAATTCATAGGAATGTATCGCACCGAGATAAACGTTCGTATGTACGTTGATCCCGCGCAGCGCGACCGCAAGTGTTTACGTTGCGCGACGCGCTCCGATGTGCCTGGCACGCGGCGTGTGTTTATTTTTTTTTTGTAGCGTACGACGCGCGGCGTGCGGCTGTCAGCTGACAGCTCGGCGAGCGCACCAACTGTCATTCGCGTAACGAGGCTCGAGCAGGTTGGCGCTCACAAGCAGTCTGCCTAATTTATGTCAAAATTTAGAACAGAAACTCTACTTATGTAATTTATACTTTAACATACATACATATATATATGTTTGTATACCTTTTCTCTGAATCTGAATCAGTGGAGAAGTACTGAAAAATCACTGATTGCGCGCGGTACCTACAATCTGACTATATAATTTCACTAATAATCTAATAATTAAACTATTGATATTTTTTTAATCTACAATTTCACTGATTAACAGTGAAATACTTGGGACTGATGCAATCCAATGAATAATTATTGATAATCAGTGACAATATGCACTGATTCAGATTTAGAGAGCTAACATATATATATTTCTCATTTTGATATCTCAAACATATTTATTTAATGCACGGTATAATTATTGTATTATTATTATCATTGCATTTGGAATCCCCGACAAGAATTGTGCATCGTTTGAAATAAAGAAATCCTTGGATTTGTCCGAAAATCAGGGATCGGTAAAATAACAAATATAAAATATATTCCAGAAACCTATTTAAAATAAAATATCGCAGGGGCCAATAAAAAACTGATACGACTTATTTAAAATGATAAATGTAAAATAGATTTCAAAAATTATATTTAAAATATTAAATATACCAGAAGAAGCTATTTAAAATAATAAATACTAATAATAACTCTTCTACTTTTTGTTATTTAAAATATATATTTTAAATAATGTTATTTTAAATACGACCGACCCCTGCCGAAAATTAATTTGACAGGCGCGAAATATTCCGCAGTGCATCGTGCTTTGTAAAAGTCGACTGTATGTACATACGTGTTTACATTAGGCGATATATTGTTTTGCACGCGGCGAATGCTATTAATTACTTCTTGCAGCGAAGGCTTAAAGATGCTTAAGGTAGCGTCTCTGACCCGGGCCTCCTCCTCCTATACGGGCGACGATCATTTCCTCGATCCAGCAAACGCACTAGGTATTTAGCGATGCGCACGAGATTCATTCAGCGGATCTGAAGGATCTGAAGACCTGCGGCTCGATCGTCCGCCAGTTTCGCCCCCGAAGCGCGGAGCGGCGCGGAGGTCGCGGAGTCGCGGGGCGGAGGCGGAGTAGCGAAGCGAATTCGCGAAGGACCGAGCCGGCGAGAGTGGAGCGGTGCACGTGCGATGCACCGAGCTGATGTATGTACATAAAGTAAACATACATGCGTGCGATCGTTTGCTTAGTGGTATGTAAGGAATTTCATGGGATTCGCACGTTCAGAATACGCGCGCGCGACGCCGAATTTGTTGTTGGATCGCGCGCACTTTCGATCGAATTCTTAACCTAACAATAAGTACAAGTCGAAGTCGCGTCGCCCCCCCCCGTCCCCCCCGCGGTATGGCATCGGTGTGAAGTTGCCCCTTCCCCCCTCCCCCCCTCCCGCTGCGTGGCATCGGTGTGAAGATGTCGCGTACTCGAATTTTTCGGCCATTATCGCCATTAACGCGATCGCGGAGTAAGCAAACGGATCGGGCGTCGAGTCGTGCGAAGGTCGTGGGCGTCGCGACGCGTTTAATTGGTATAAAGCCGTGGCTTGATATTCGTCGATCGCGCGTGTGGCGTGTATAATACTCGGCCATTTTTACGCATCGGCGGAGATCGGTCGAGATGCGTGTAATTTCGCGAGATTTTACACGGTCGGGGGCGTCCATTAGCCGGCCGGCGTCGGTCAGATAGAATCGGCCTGCTCGTTACAAGCACGAAGTAGCAGAGCGACATTAATATAAAGTTTACTTTGATTGCGATTATAAAATGCGAGCGTGGCGTCGGTGCGAAGATTTTTTTCCCGTGTTCGAATTTCTCGGCCGTCGACGGAATCGCGGATCGTTTACGAAGAAACGGATCGGCCTGCCGATGACCGCGTGCAGCGTTAACGTCGCGCGGGCGTCGCGGCGCGTTTTAATTAAGTAGGGGCCGTGACTTGATACTCGTCGTTCGCGCGTGTATTCGGCCATTTTTACGCATCGGCGGATCAGAGATCGCGATGTGTATCTCGCGCGGCGTCCACTAGCCGCCCGCGGGCGGCGGCGTCGGTCAGAGAAACGGTGTGCTCGGCTATATAAGCACGAGGCAGCAACATTAACACAAAGTACATTTTGTTTGCAATTATAAAACGCGAGTGTGCATCATTTTCTTTCCGAAATAAGTGCGCGGAAATAAGTGCGCGGAAGTGTTGTTAGCGTCGGAATTAGTGCGCGCGAGATCGTAGTAATTAATTATAGTATTTTCGCGAAAGTGTTTATGTGCGGGTGTCCTGGACCAGGCCGTGGAGGAGTGCATGCAGTAGCCACGAAGAGAGAGAGAGAGAGGAGGAGGAGGCCCGGGAAGGCGTCCGGCAATGGCGGAGCAGCAACGAGGTACGCAATCTACAATAGTAGTTTATGTATTATCTCACTACTTTTTTTTCATATTTTCTACTAGCTTGTTAAGTTTTTGAGAGATAAAGCAGACCTGTCCAAAAAAATCTCGAGTCGCGAGCCGAAACGCTACCCCCAGATCGGAAGAGCACACG